GCGTGCATTGTTTATATAAGACGTTACTGCTTCGGAGAGAATGCTGCATTTTAGTCATTTTAATACCCATTTACACTAAATAGGAAATAATTTTTACCTACAAATACGTCAAACGCCTTTATTTATTTTTCCAATACATACAAAAATGTTTTAGAATTTAATTTGTCTCAGGAAAAAAGTTAATATTACTGGCTCATTAAGCCGCATCGATGTCATCCTTATCAGTGATTGTCGCGGCCTAGCAAATATTCACTGCGGATCAGTGTGACTATGAACATGAGATAATCATTTCTCTAACCACACTATATTTCTACTACATTCTGTACTTTAGCTGATTTATACCACATCCAATTTAACTTTTTGACTAATTAAATGAGAGTAAACACATTTACCTTGTAATTTGATACCAGTATATCATAGATGATTACAATCTTATACAATGTATTTATATTCGTTAGGAGATGAATTTATAGAAGCTCTGGCTTGTTTTCAGATCCCACAATTATAGAGTGTACTTTTATAATATGTAAATATTCATTCAATAAATAATGTCAGAAAAAAAAAAGTGTGTACAAAAATGAACTTTAAGGTTTATCTGGACGACAGTTGTGTTGGGTAAATCCGGATGCTTTAATTTAATTACTAACACAATTACATTAATCCTAGAAACCACCTTCCTGAAAGGCCCAACAACCAAAGCTGTGTCTACCAAATCAACTGAACTTGTCAAGAAAGTTACATTGGGGAATCCAAAAGACCACTAGATTTCTAAATGAAAGAACATGTCAAAAGTGCCTACCAACCAATCTGTGGGTGCCGAACATTTGAATGAGAACCCATGGCATCGAGTCGACTGGACCATAGTAAAAACGTTAGCCGTGAACCACCACAACAAAAGAAATAGAAGAATACATGAGGCGATCAACATTAGAAGACATGAACTGAAACTGAATCGAGACCCAGGCATTTATATCTCCAAAGCATATGACTGCATTATTAAAATGTAAACACAGTTCCTCTAAAGTAATTCCCCATGCTCAACCATATAACTTCTGGCATTACTATCCAATATCAAATTTATTGTATAAATGTATTTCATACCTCAACGCATTTCGCTACCATTTTTAGTCAAATATTACAACGATGATAACTATGTTCAGAATAAAGTAATTTGACTGAATTTTTCAATATATTCTTCTTTCATCATCTACTTTTGAACTGTTATAGCAAGAATGGCCAACTCTCTATAAAAATCTCCCACAATGTATCTTTAATATGCAACTTACTAACAATAATAAAACATAACCCGCAAATATTTCTTAAACTGTTCTAAATGCATAAGAGTATAGTTTTAATATATTTCTGTAAATCCTCTTTTTGATCTTTTTGAATGTATATTTAGTTAATCATAGTAGTATAAACGTCTTATATATGTTAAACTGTTTTCAATATATGGATAATGTGTTTCAATATATCTCGGTAATCCTCTGTTTGATCTTTCAATTGTATGATATGCTAATCCTAGTATATATGATTATGTACTTTTGTTTCATCAATAGCTTGTGATAGCTACTCATGTTCAACTTCCTTGCATTCCAATGGATAGTTCACGGTGATGTTTGTATATAAATATATATATATTCAAATTTTTCTCTTTTTAATTTCTTGTCTACGAAATCACCCTTGGTGGTAGTTGACGTGAAACTCCAGAAACGATAAGAACGAATCATTTTAATTTATCTATTTGTGTATATGCTTGATAACGACTTGTGAAATCTTGTTGAAATGCTGCAGTGAAATAAACCATTGTAATTGTTATTCCATAAATAGTGTGTTATTTCAATATTTGACTACAGTATGTTCCAATTACTAAATTCCATTCAAAGAATACATCAATATATTCTGCTAGAAATTGAACAAATGCCATTTGAAATGGCCAGTTATTAATTAACAAATCAAAATCAAAAAGGACAATTACATAAGGTCATAAGCCTTTGCGACAGATGATATCTCCAAAGAATCACCGCTCTACCAATTTTGTGCTTATGACTTACTGTATACAGACAATCAGACAATCTTTATAAGATTAAGTTAATAAGACCCAAAAGGTGTAGGCCTATTCACATTCAGGTTCCCAATCAATATTTAATATAAGTTCTTTCAAATCGTGTATCCAAAAAAGATGTTACCTGTTTATAATGGGTTATGCTGAGTGACGAACATGAAGATGGAAGTGGTACATTTTATATAATTTCTAAACAATTTTTATTGAACAGTAGCCTAGCTCTACTCTAGGCTACTAAGTAAAAATAGTAAAGTAGTAGGCCTACATTAAAGTCTAAGTAGCATTCGTTGTCGACATAAATTATATTTTATAATGAAAAAGAAACACTACTTACGTAGTCTCAACTAATAATGGACAGCATGCTGTTAAACGTCTTTATCAAAAGGATTGATTTGAGGAATTACTCGTCAGTGAGGAAATACTACAGCCGGTGGCTTGTTTGTTGTTGACTGTCAGAAATAAATAACAACATTAATTTGCTAATCGCGAAGACTTCTCTCTTTCTTGGACTTCCAGTCTCTTCAGAAATTCACTCGGAATGTCGAGGAGAATTAAACCACTCGGCCATACTGAGTCTAATGCCAAAATTGATCAGCAGCAAATATTAGCGAAGTGAAGTGAAGTGAAATGGGGTTTAACGTCCTACTGTTCTGCTCCTATACTGATCTAATGAAGACGGGCATACGCCATACAGTGTGCTATGAGGGAAATTTTGCCCTGGCAGCGGCACTATCGCCTACTCTTATATCGAATTCCAACTGCCAAGGGATCTTTTAAGTGCATTCCAATGTATACACGGGACCTCGGTTTTCCGTCTCATCCGAAGGACTAGACAGCTGTCCTTGTCAGGCCCTCCGTTCTGCACCACTGACAAGGGGAAACCACGTCGGAAAATAGGGATGAACTTTCTCGGCCAATGCAGGGATCGAACACCCGACCTCCAGGCTAGCGATCCAGCGTCTTAACCACCTAGCCACCGTGCCTCCCATAAATATTAGCTCTCAATATTACTTTTTTTCTTCTGCAAATTAAATTTTAAAACAATTTTTTTCAATTATTAAGAAAGTAATGTGTTAGAAGTATACCTCGATAAAAAAGATATTTCCTATTTAGGGTAAACAGGTACATACAATAGTATGAGAAGGCATAAAAGGCACCAATATTCCTGGATCAGTTTGCGTTACGACGTCCAATATGAAAACAACGCACGTGCTATCGAAGCCGTAGGCCTACGGTGCGATGTCATACGTAGTCCTCTGCACGTGAACTTAAAAGTCAGCCATCTTTTGAAACTCAAAAGAGGGCTTTCGCAGTACCGCTAGGAAACAGATTGGTCTAATGTCAAACCCGTTATTCTAAACGAACCAAGCGTGGTTGCGGATGGAGGTGTTGAAAGTGTGGCGTGTGTGTGGGTGTGTGTGTGGCGGGGGTGGGGGTGGGTGGGGGTGGGCGGGGGTACTTTGGGTTTCACCTTTCATTTCAAAAGCAGGTTGTACGACGTTGCACATCGTGTTTGCCACCAACGGCGGATGAGCATGTTTTGGATAGAAAATGTACAGATTGAGGTCCTCTAAATGTTTCATAAATAATTTTCGCGCCAAGTTCCACATAGTGTTTAGATTAAAGGCACGAAAACAACATGATCAAAGGCATATGAAGCATTTTTGTGTACCGACTGGGCTAATGAAGACGGGCATTCGCTATGCCGTATCTTGTGCTATGGGCGAAATTTGTCTACTCCAACAGTTAGGGATGCTTTTACGTGCACGCAAGTACACGTGACCTCGGTTTTTGTGCCATCCGAACTACTAGATAATGTTCCTTGTCAGACGATCCGTTCTGCAATACGGACAAATCAAACAAATCCTTATGAAGAACAGAGAGAGATATTGTGGAGCGCAGCGAGGCAAAAGAAAGGGGTCGCTTGAATCTTATTCCGTGTTATTTTATACACATGAAATAATCAGTGTACCGAGCGTAGCGATGCGAAAAAAAAATGCTAGTTTATGCATTTAATTTTAATTTACATTTCAAACATCCAATAGATCCGTTAATCCAATGTCTGGCAAAGCTACAAACAGATTCACATGGATAAATGGAGAAACTGAGAAAGACAGTATGTTGTTACTGTCGAACTATTACGGATACCGACTGCTGGTCATCGGGAAAGTTATAGGTTGTCGAATTATTCTTCTGTTTGGTTTGCGGACAAGGCTTGGTAACAAGAATGTACATTGTATATCGTTAAACTTCGACAGTGAAGTACTAACTGACAGGCCCGTTCCTTCAATTTTTTATAATGTTCTTATCAAAATATCATAATACGCTAATATCGCAAATTCAGCTTCAAAATTGAAATTTTCATAGTTTCTCTCCTCAGGTGCAAACCCAATCTTCCAATATTTTCGCGGGGAAGAGCCCCCTAGACCTTTCCCAGAAAGAGGCGCATCCACGGTGCCGTTCGCCAGGGATCATCAAGTATAGGTACCGGCGCCACCAGAAGGCCTTGCCCCCCCCCATCATTTTTGGGCTGGCTATACGGGCCTTACTGATTGGCCCAAACTTATAGCTTTTACAAAACTGGAGGTTACTTTGGTCAACTTGGGTAAGTGAATTCGTTTCTATGTTGGTCCATAAGAAGGTTAAACAAAAAGTCTGACACAAAATCATGGATATCTTCGCGCTTGTTGGTAAATGATCGATGATTTTGGATTTGCCATAATTGAATGTACGGTTGTATCGGGGGTGCTCGACTTAGATTGTACGGGAAATCTGTGACAAATCAATCTACAGAAACGGCTGAATACCAAAATGTGTCTTCCACTGACATTACTTGTTTGTATGCACAATAAAATTATTGAAAATTTAAGCTTCGAATAAAAGAAAGTCCACAGTTCAACTTAGCTGTGACCGGGCTTCTTCGAGGAAAAACCGGAGAGTTGCGAATGTAGGCATGTTGACAATCTAGATTATTGAAACTGAAAACGACATCCAAATCATGTTTTTGATGCTATTTATTTTACTTATTGTAATTTTTTTAGTCGCTCTTCCCAATTATTCAAATATTCTGTCTAATGTGGTGAGTTCATTTTGTTATTTACTCCTGTTGAATGTTGTCACTGTCGTTTTCGCCTCCATACCACCACATTCTATCACTGTATATCAGTGAGTTTATCTTTAAATTATATTAATAAGCCTGCCTAAATATCATTACGGCAGTAGGTGAGAGAGAGAGAAATGGGGTTTAACGTCCACTCGACACAAACTAGGTCATTTCGGGGCAAACATGGTTTAATTTTATTTCAATAATTTGCTTGCGCATATAGGGGTCTTTAGCAGTGGGAGGAAACCGGAGGACCAGGAGAAAACCCACAAGGTTGGACGGGCGACCCTACTCCTTGTCACATACAACCGGGGAATCCAAACCCCCCCAGTTGACTCAATGACAGACCGTATTATACAGTGCGTGTGCTAACCATATGGCCATCCAACCCCCCACAACAGTAGGTAATACTACTAATACCAACCCGACTTGCCTTGAAAATGAAAACATAACCTAAGCTATAATTATATAGGTTTGAATCACTAAATAAGTACCGTAAAGTCCGTAAGAGATTTAGAAAATGTTAATAGTTGTACTACAGAATACTTTTGAGGGGGGGTTGGATTGGCGAATGGTTAGCACGTGCGCGCTGTATCATACGGTCTATCATTGAGTCAAATGGTGGGGTTTTGATTCCCCGGTGGTACGTGACAAGGAGTAGGGTCACCTGTTCAACCTTGTGGGTTTTCTCCAGGTCCTCCAGTTTCCTCCCAAAGACCCCTACGCGCAAGCTAATTATTGAAATAAAATTGAACCATGACCTAGTTCCAAAATGACCTAGTTTGTGTTGAGTGGACCTTAAACCCCATTTGTCTCTCTCTCTCTCTCTCTCTCTCTCTCTCACAGAATACTTTTGGATTTTAATAATTAAACCTTTATTTTTTCTAGCTCTGTAAAAGACTGTTTAAATTGAGTGATAGTGAATTAGATCTTCGAGCACAAGTGAAAGATTTAAAATGTGAACAAGCTTCAATAAGTATGGCTGATGAATTTGCACGATACATGAAATTACAGAGGAAGATTGATAAATGTTTGCAGGAAATTAAATCAGAAGGTTGTTACTGTTACATAAGAAATTATAATATATTACAAAATCACCTATTGAATCTCACAATGTCTGATAATTACCATACTTACTGTACATTGTTAATGCCATTAATGACAGAAAAATCTTGTGAACACTGTTTGTTGCCTAGAAATGGTTCCAGTACTGATGTCTTCCACCTTACTCCAGCCACAGTTTAGCGTTACCGGTACACATTTGTAGCTAACTGTAGCCTATCATCTAATGGAAATACAATACAAGCAGTTTTTAGATGTTCATTAAAAGCCTATTGATTTTCCAATGATTAGAGGCAGAGTTAATGCAAAAGTTTATTTTTAAAAAAAACCATTTTTACTTGCTTTAGCTATATGAAAAATTGCAAAGTGGGAACTTTTATGGACTGGTCCTTAAACATACATTATGCATGAGCTAAATCTGAAATGTTATATAAACTATTAATTGGACATTTATTAACAAAACAAGACCATAATCATTCAACTCTTGATTAGAACGGTTCGCCATTTAAAAATTTAAAAATGGGAAAGCAAGCTAAGTCTTGAATATACCAGTGCCCAGGTTACCACAATGCGCACATCTTATCTTATCAAAACTACAAACAATGATAACTTGGCTGAGAATGAAGTAATTTGAATGAAATTTTCAATATTTTCATTTTACATAATCTATTTTTGAGCTATTTTATAGTAAGAATGGTCAGTTCTTTATCTAAATCTTACATAATGTATCTTTAATGCCAGGATTCTTACTGATAGAAAACTATGTTTTGTTTTGACAGGTGATCCAAGGCAACAGAATGTTGCATATGTCAAGTTAGGAGTAAAAATAGCAATATATGTACTTCATGTGAGTAATAATTTTAATATCATTGCTGTAAGAGAATCAGTGATAACAAGAGGTAAATTGTATGTTTATGTTGCCAATCCAATTACATTATGGACATTTTTCACCCCCTTTCATGTTCTGAACTCATAGATAGATATTTTATTACATAAAACACCCTTTTTGTGCAGCATGTAAATTATATATTATGACATTATATTATAGATAGAATATTAATTAAAGTTTTGAATACATGATAGTGGTTTGGACTATCGAAGGAGATCTTTATAAAATGAAATTTTGGGGGGGTTTGGTTTATATGGAAGTGGGTGCCACATCCCTTTTCTAAAAAACATTTGATAGAAAGTGAAATAGTTTATCTCTTTTCACTGATTTTCAGCATTTTTGGGTCAATGTGTTTTAATAAAATGGCGGAGCCTCGGTGGCTAAGAGGGTAAGATGCTGGTCTCATGTTCGATCCCTGGATTGGCCGAGAAAGTTCATAGGGATTATCCTATGTGGTTTCCCCTTGTCAGTAGTGCAGAAAGGAGGGCCTGACAAGGACAGCTGTCTAGTCATTTGGATGGGATGAAAAAACGAGGTCTCAGTATACATTGACATGCACAAAAGATCCCTTATCAGTTGCAATTTGATATAAGAGTAGGCTGTAGTGCCGCTGTCCGGGCAAACTTTCCCTCATAGCACACTGTATGGCATATGCCTGTCTCCATTAGCCCAGTCGGAGCAGAACTGTTAAACTCCATTTCATTTTATTTCATTTGTTCTAATAGGGAAACGTTGCATGGGTTGTTCTTGAATTAAACAAAAAGTCCAGCACACTGTATAGCGTATACTCGTCTTCATTAGTCCAGAATAGGAGCAGAACAGTAAGACGTTAAACCCCCATTTCATTTAATTTAGCAAAATGGCAGCCAAATTAATCTTCACTTTACATGTTATATTTATTATTTTTATGATATTTTTACAGGGAATAACCATGTTAACCTTGGTACTGATGTATAGATCAACACCATTGTTAATGATGCCACCAGAATGGTTTACGCCCTTCAATAAAATTGTTGCAATGCCAACAGGAGAACCAGGTAATAGATTTTAAAATATTTTTCAATAAGATTGGAGATCTATAGGTCTTTAAACAATCTGATTAAAATACAGATCTATATTTCATTTCGTTTTTTTATACTTTCGATGGCCTACACCACATGAAAATCTGACCGGTTGTAGTAAAAGGTCGCGTCAGAGGTTGTACGAATGGATTTTGACCCTATGACGTCAGACATTGATTAATCAATCAGCGTTGACGTTTCTAGTGGTTTACCCACAGTTCCATGCATCGCATGCCAAAAAGTCTTCTTAACAGATGGTTTCATTGGCTCATACCATTCAGAATGCAGGTTATATAACAAGTCTTCCAGATCCTAGTGTAGTACAGACAAATAAAATGAAGTTTTGAACTATAAAAAAAAACTAAACGAAATAGGATCTGTTGTTTAATCAGATTGGGTCTTTAAACATCGATGTATCAAATTACCATCAAACAAGGCCTGTTAAAATAGTTAAATGTTAATGTTCGGTAATATTGCCCCAAGTTGCTTCTTTTTTTTCTCTATATTCCTGCAATGCTTAGTATATTGTTCCTGCTCTTGCATAATGTATGTTTAAAGATGCATTATGTAATATTTAGATAAAGATTTGTCTATTCTTACTATACTATTCAAAAAAAGTAGGGGATATTTGATTTTTAAGTGTTATTAAAGTCACCTAATGAAACTGACGAAGAAACAAATGACAAAATGAAATGAAGTTCACATTCATCGATTTATTCCAAATGATCGTTAGACTAAGTAAGGCACAGACTGACCATTATAAGGGTAAAATGATACCCGGGGTCAAACAGCAAAGTTACCACAGCATCACAACCAAGTCAGTAACGGGTAAATCCTCCTCTGTTTGCCAAACAAGCATTGATCCGACGTGGCATACTCCTAATGAGACGTCTAAGGTAATTTTGGTCCAGATTGTCCCATTCCTGTTGCAACGCAGCAGCAAGTTCTTGGACATTGGCAGGTCGTTGTTGACGTTGACGTAACCTCTGTCCAAGCATGTCCCAGACATGCTCGATGGGGGAGAGGTCGGGACTCAGTGCTGGCCAAGGTAATGTGGTGATGTTCTGTTGTTGGAGGTAACCTGTAACGATCCTGGCCCTGTGACATCTTGCGTTGTCATCCTGGAAGATGAAACGGCGGCCATGACGTCGTGCGAACGGCACAACATGGACTGCCAAGATGTTGTTCCGGTAGTACTGGCCTGTAACACGCCCTGCAACAACATGTAAAGCCGTTCTTCCAGCAACAGTGATGCCTCCCCACACCATAACAGAACCACCCCCAAATCGATCATGTCTGATGACGTTAACGTCTTGGAAGCGCTCGTTTCGACGACGCCACACCCTCCTACGTCTGTCCAAAAAATCAACAGTGAACCTTGACTCATCTGAAAACATCACATTGCTCCAGCGTCGATTATCCCAGTGTTGACGATCCCTACACCAACGACGTCTTGCCTGAATGTGATGATCTCTCAAACAAGGGATCACGCGAGGACATCGGGCGCGAAGGTGACCCCTATGCAGTCGATTCCGAATTGTCTGGCCACTCACTCTCACACCAGTGTCTGTTTGAAGACGAGCGCTGATCTGATTTGCTGTGATGACACGATTTCTCAAGGCCAAGGTACGGATAAATCGATCCTGGGCTTGAGTTGTCGCCCTTGGTCGACCTGAGCGTGGTCTGTCCTGTACAGATTGTGTATCACGGTATCTGGACCATAGCCTGCTTATGACAGACTGAGAAACATTCATCGTCCGCGCCACAACCGCCTGTGTTGTGCCGATCTGTAGCATGCCAAGGGCACGTAACCTTTCATTTTGGGTAAGCCGACGCATATCAAAATTTGTTTTCTGGTCACTAAAACAATTAAACTGATGTTTCCACCCTGGAATTCAATGCCACAATGACTGTAACATTCAAAGTCAGAGTCGTGCAAATCTTGGGTTGGACCCCCATGATGATCCCAAGCATCACCTGCATTCCATGCGGTAGCTATTGGTGCGTTTGGGCGTCACATGTAACTGGAAATGTTTCTTCTGTTAGGTTCTATAGTGACTTTTTTCGTAGTCATTTGCATATTTTAGTATTATGCCCCCAAAATCAAATATCCCCTACTTTTTTTGAATAGTATATAATAGTTCATAAATAGATAATGAAAAATGAATATATTAAAAATCTCAGTCAAATTACTCGTTTCTGAGCAAAGTTATCAGGCTTGCGATGTTCACATAGTCTCAATTGTCAAGTACCATTGTAACAATAATAAAGTCTTGATTATCTATTTTCAAATTAAATTTTTAAATGGGCTTGTGTTTCAATCCTTTGAAAATCGCAACCATCCTATGTTCTAGCTAGAGAGTTGATTATGGCCTTATGTAAATAAATGTCTAATTAGCAATTTATATAACGTTTGAGGCCAAAAGAAAGACCTGCAATGGGCTGATTTAGTTTAGGTCTAAAGTCATGATTATGGGCTGGGCATGTAAATAAATTTATATTACATTTGAGGCCAAATAGGCAAATTTAACACCTTTACGTTTATTCAAAAATCTGAATTTTTTTTTTTTTTAAATTTTAAGTTATTCAATAATCTGCATTTATTGTTGTTTTAAATTTAAAGTTATTCTATAATCTGCATTTATTGTTGTTTTAAATTTAAAGTATTATTTATTGTAGGAGGTATTGGAATTGGTTGTTGGATTGTAGTATGTAATACAGTTGTATATCGTGCTATAAGACTGTCACCTCTACTGAGCAGATGATAAATTTATTCTTCCACAAGTTTTTATTTACTGGTGGTTGGTAGACTAAATAGAGTGATGGTTCTTGCCTTGATAATAGAAAAACCAAGTGTGTTGTTAATGGAGAAATATTGGTTTTAAAATAAATGTCCTATTTTCACAATGTGATTAAATATCAACATTCCTGTTAATGATGTGGTGTGGTGTAGAATATTGGTGGTGTTTTCATAATGAACATTAATTGAAAATATTTCCGAATTCGTTATTAATTCACTTGTCGTTCAGTACCTTTACCTTGGAACAGTTTTTGTTCCTGTTTTCCAGGTTGGTAATGTGACTTATTGTGCTGCCAATTTGAGCATAATACCTTTTAGGGGGAGAGGGAGCATTTGTGTCAATATGACGAACAAACCACAATAGGAGAGTGTTCAGCAACATGTGAAAAAGAAACAGGATTCCAGTCCCTGTGTTCTATCTTCATATTTGATTATCGTACATACTTCATATTGAACTGTCCATTGAATTAAACATATTAGATATTTATAGATATTTTAATTATATTATCTTAATTGTAAATTATTGTAAATTAAAAACATTTTTTACAATGATAATAGTTGATGAGTATTCTTTATGCATATTTAATGACACTGATCAGCAGTAAATATTCGCTAGGCTGCTACAATCACTGAGAGGGGTTAATGAGCTCGTGAAATTAACTTTTTTCAATGGCAAATTAAATTCTAAAACATTATTTTTTTTTGAAGTATTAGAAAAATAAATAAAGGTGATTGAAGTATATCTAGATAAAAAAAATATTACCTATTTAGTGTAAATGGGTATATAAAATGAGTAAAAGGCATCATTCTGCCTGAACCAGTTAATGCAACGTCTTATGTAAACAATGCACGTGCCATAGAGCCAATGATGGATGCCCCGTGACATCATACTTGAACTTATAAAGGTCATCTAATACAGAGTTATAAGAAGCAAATAGGGATCATCCTTAGGGTATAAGGAATAAGTATGTAAAGTTTCAAGATGATCACTTAAGAATTGCAGCCTGTAGGCCACACTAACACACACACATACACAGGGGTGACGGCAATATGGGACGTATAAAAATTCATGTTGTGCTTCAGGAACATGGGATGTTGATAGGCTTCTTCGCTTCACTAATCAGAACAATGCATACATTTCCAGCAGGTTTGATTTCAACTGTTTCCACTAGAGCTTTCACAAGATTTCACAAAGAAAACAATGGCTTTAGCTCTAGAATATTTAACAAGGTGAACAAAGGCGATGGTACAGCTCTAGGATAACCCTACAAGACACAAACCCCATGGATCCTCCATTTTTATACGCCCACATTAAAATGTGGTCATGTTTTGTCATCATCCCTGTCTAGCGGCTAAAGTTACCATCCGATAGTCTTTATACAGTCAGAATTTAAAGTCTGAGTCAACGATTTTCGATAATAACTGACAGAGTTATGGCCCTTGACCACTCTGAAAAATCTTGTAGTTTTCAAAGAGACTTAAGTTATCATCTGATTGACACACAATTTATACACACTGTTAGGTTGAGATGAAGAAGTCAAAGGATAAATACTTTTAGAGTTATTTTTGCCCTTGATCAATTTAAAAACTTGTGGAATGCTCAAGATAATGTTATCTTTCGAGTGCCATTATAATAATAAACAGTGTTTATTTTTCAGATGAAGAAACCTAGAATTACTTTCAGAGACATTGCACTTTTTTAAATCATGTGGACATATGTCGAAAATATTTTTCCTATCGATTTGAAATAGTGATGTTCACGAGACTAGAAGCCTTCTGATTTGTATAATAAATTTTAGCATCAGGCCGAAGTAGAAGTCCATCAAATTTTAATTATTTCTGATAATTACTTAAGATTCGGTTGGTACTCTTGATTAATTTTTAATGTCCTTGTAAAGGTTCCTATTTAGTTCAAAATAAGAAATATAGGACACTCCTTGCCGACTGCTCGGATGAGAGAGAGAGATGGGGTTAAATGTCCACTTGACACAAACTAGGTTGTTTCAGGACTAACATATGGTTCAATTTTATTTAATTCGCTTCCAAGTCGGTGTCTTTAGCAGTGGGAGGACCCGGAGAAAACCCACGAGGTTGGACAAGCAACCCTACTCCTTGTCACGTACAACCGGGGAATCGAAATCACAACAGTTAACTGACAGACCATGTGATACAACGCACATGCACTAACCATTCGGCCATCCACTACGTTTTCAAATTATGAGCCATAATGTTTCCAAGGCAGTGGTATTTACCACTGATTCTATTAGTCACATCTTTTCAAGTACCTTTTGTTCATTTGTACTCCGTCATATATAAAACAGACAAATAGAGTGTAGTATGAGATTTAATATGTAAAGTTGATTAATATATGATCGATATGACACTTGATCTGGCTTGCATAACCATTTATATAATAACAATCTTCACAAAACATCAAATACAGGACGGATATTTATATTGCAGATTGACATGGCTCTACTCAATAACTAATATCGTGCATTGGACACGGCACAAACATGTTCCCATTATGTTGATAAGTATGGAAGAACGGTTGTGATAATAAATTTTGCTCTGGGACTTAATTAACGGAGAACAATGTTTGCTTGTTCTTATAAAGAAATTCTAGGCTTGCACATTATCAAATCAAATTATATGAATAACGACCAACCAATGTCAAAAGTTACATTAATTTACATGATATTTAAAATAACATTTCATTTAAAGAAAGGGGCTTGATGTTAAATCATCAGTTTGCGCACTGGAGCATATACCAATAGCATACCAGTACTTTAATATTTAAAGCTAATTCTGAACATAGTCAAATGTACACATGTCCAATTCACATAATTTTCCACCATAAATAACTTGTACATCATGAAAAAGAAATAATCCATGCTACCGTAAACCGGTGAAAAAATTTAACAAGATGTACAACTGTTTTTTAAAGTTTGGTCAAATGCATTTACAAAGAAGTACCGTACACATAAACAATACAAATAAATATTACATAAGATATAAAAAGTATTACTTTGTTGTGTGTTCAAATATAAAGAGTGATTACAAAATAAATTATGCATCCTTGAATATAAAAATATATCACAGATCTTAATACACATTATCTTCCAGATAACAACACAACAAAATATGACACGATTAACATAAAAACAATTAAAAGATAAATTAATTGGGAATATAAAACATCAAGATAAGATTTCATTGAGACACATAATGAGAATTTTTGATTGTGAAAAGTTGATATAAACGTAATGTAATTATCACTAGAGCCTTGTCTGCGACATCACCTCGGTGGAAGCGGACGTAAAATACAAATGACTCACACATCACTAGAGCATTTAAAATCATTAAATGAAATAAATTAAGGCTTTATGTTAAAAGTTATGTTAAATAGTTATGTGTTGAGTGTATATACATTATGTTAAAGTAAGATAATAGATAAATATAACTTAATTTATTTGGTATCAATGTTTTAAATCAATATATGTGTTTCAAATTCTTATTATTGCTTGAATTCATTTTGGCTAATAATGTACGGTAGTGTATATAACTGTTAGATATGACGATAAAACTAGAACAACATGGACGGATTATTCTTTATTAAGATTAGCAGGAAACTGGACGGACAAGCAAACCAAATGCTTTCACATATATGCAATCCATAACAACAGGGCTGGACAGGCAACCTAACTTCTTGTTATGTACAACCGGGGAATCGAAGCCATGTCAGTTGACTCAATGACAGATCTTATGACAACGCGCACGTGCTGTCCATTCGGCCATCCGCCCCCCCGCATACCAGTTAGTAATAGGAATGATGAAGAAAATGAAAGTAGAAGTAAATTTGCACTGATATTAATTAACTCACTTGAAGTCATAAACAAGTTTATACACTATAATCAGCACATTATTTTCCTCTCTGTACACAAGGTTAGAAAACATGAAATTCTATCAAGGTTCCAGCCATTTTAAAAACGGTTAGTCCTAGGATTTAATAATCACTGCTTCCATGTACTGGGTTATACTCCCAATATATTCCTGATAGTGCACAGTTTAAGATTCTTACAAAATGTTATTTAATAGAAAATAATTGACATGTATATAAAAAAAAATAGTTTATCCACTATAACATAACTTCTTCGATATCATCATCCAAATTATCAATGGCCGACACTGCAGGCTTAGAACTAAATGTGGTTGTTACTGGCTGCCGTATTCGACGAGGTAAAAGTTTAGATTTATCCGATAAAGCATTATTATCGTCATCTACCAATGCTGAGCCACCAGCAAATAAAGCGCTTGTTTCACGTTTCGGGGGAACTGTGGTGCCATTCGACTTTGGCTGCTCGTCCCAAGGAAAACCCGATTTTTTGGGTGATTTTTTAGGTGAACCAAACAGGTCATCTGTAGAAGAGGTGTCCTCAGTTTTCTTCCCAAAAAGATCACTCATTAACTTAGCTTTTTTATCAGAATTCGATGGTTTGGATGATCGGCGGAAATCCTCATTGAAAACTATCGCATTTTTATTTGTGGGTGATTTGTTGGTGGGGGTGCTCATTTTCCGTGAAAATGATGGTTGATAACCACCTAGCTCTATATCCTCCTTCTCGGTTTTCAATTTTTTCTGACGTTCCAGATAAGGCAAAGTTACATCTTCATGGGATGGCAATCCATGATGCATGTTCTCAACTGGTTTAGTAAAACTATAAGCACTTTTTGTAGATGCGTTACTTTCTAAACCAGGTGATCTAGAATAGCTCTGTATGCCATTTTGTTTTTCCGTACTTGTGCCAATAAATGTGGCTTGTTGTTTATTAGAAGAAGATGGCTCCAGTGGACTGGCTTCTCTTTCTTTCTTTTTCTCCTTATCTATCACATTCATCCTGGCTAACAAAATTTCTTTTCTCTTTTTTTCTGCTATCTGCACCGGATCATTTTTCATCCTTTCTCTTTCTTCTTCGGCAAGTCTTTCTGCTTCATCTTGCCGTCTTTTTGTTTCTTCCCTCTCCCACTCCTCACGTTCTCTACGTTCCCGTTCTCGTTTTTCCTTTTCTCTGGCTTCACGTTCTTTCTCAGTTTTTTGTTTCCTTTCCTCATCTTCACGTAACCGTTCCTCTCTTTCTTTTTCCAATTTCTTTATTTCTTCCGACTCCCTCTTCATTCGTTCTCTTTCTAGTCGCATTTCTTCATCAAGTCTTTTTCTTTCCTCTTCAAGTCTTTTTCTCTCCTCTCTATCCAATCGTTCATTTTCCTTCCTCTCTTGTTCTAAGTTTTCTCGTTCTCTAGTCAGCCAAGAGTCGGCCTGTTGTTCTTCCCTCTCTTTATCAATAGAAATAAACTGTGTATTTTGATCTCTGTCATAACTAGCTGACAATCTCTCTTCTTGATTCCAGATTTCTTTGGATTTTTTAAATCTTCTTGGTGACTGAAAATATATGAAAAACAAATTGAGTTATGAAAATTTTAAGCAAAATGGGGTTTAACATCCTACCATTCTGTGCCGACTGGGCTAATGAGAGAGAGAGAAATGGGGTTTAATGTCCACTCGATACAAACTAGGTCATTTCGGGACTAACAGATTGTTCAATTTTATTTCAATAATTCGCTTGTGCGTAGGGGTCTGTAGCAGTGGGAGGAAATCCTACTCCTTGTCATGTACAAGCTGGGAATCGAAACCACGCCACTTGACTCAATGACAGACCTTATGATCCAACGTGCATGCATTAAAACATTTTGGTGCTTGATCTTCCTATATAAACTTCTCCGTTAAAGACTGCAAAGCACACATTTAGAAAAGAGAAAACAACTAAAAATTTATTGTGGCTGCAATAATTAGGCTAAACTTTTCTTTGTTACAAACCTCTAACTTCTGTTTTTCTTCTTCTCTTCGTTTAGCTTCGTATAATTTGACCTTATCACGAGATGAGAGATCCGTGAGAGATGGATTACGTTTTTTCCTAGCTAGTGGAGGTGTGTGGTGTGGTGTACCATTATATGAGGCAGGTAGTTTATGCGGGGGTTTCATAATTCTATTGCTATAAATATTTTTGATTTCTAACTCTTTTTCTTTTTCCTGAAACAATTACAAATATTAATCAAATTAAATTATTTTTTTCAAATGTGTAGAACACTGTTGGGATTTCAAATTTTTTCTTATTGAACATTTTTACCGATAATAAAGGGACATAACTCTTATTGTTGTTTTAGACTCCAGCATATTGTTATAATCAACACATCTTTCAGAAACAATACATGAAATATAAAGATATACAGTTCCAACTTAAAAAAAACTTAAAGAAACGCCACTGATTTCCCAGTACTGAAAATGCAACGAAAAAGCAATTTAATCCTCATTTCGCCACAAGTGAAAAAAAAGATAAAACCAATTCTTCAATTAAGTTTTTAACTGAAGTATCTAAAAATTATAATTTAAGCAATTTAAAGAGGATTAACTGTGTAACTGGCGGCCACAAGCTAAATCACAGTAAATATTTTATTCCATTACTTACCCGTAACATTTCTTTCACATGATTTTGTTTATCTTCCATCTCTCTTAAGTGTTTTTTGGTCTCTCTGTGGTGGGCCATCTCTATCCCTAATTCATGCCTATGGTTTTTATTCAGTTTTTCAATGTGACGCTCTAATTCCTGCAAAAATTATATTGATGGGATAAAAAGTGATACAAATCTATCTTTTCCAAATTCAGATCAATTAAACTCTATATATAGGCAATGGTCAATAAAACTTAATCTTGTTCTTTTAAGCCATAGCCTACTGCTATTTGTTTAAGTTTATAAAATTTCACCATTACAGCAGATGGTAGATGGAGTATTAAAAATATTTTATTCAATAAGCTGAATTGGATTGAACAACAATCTGATTAAAACACAGATCCAATTTCGTTTCGTTTTTATAGTTCAAAATTTCGATTTTACTTGTCTTTACTACACTAGGATCGGGAAGCATTGTTATGTAACTCGTGTTCTGCTTGAAATGAGGGGTCAGCCAATCAAATGGTCTGTCGAATCGAGCGTTTGACCTTTTTTGCGCGGAACTGTGGGTAGACATTACCGGCAATAGAAATCAAAACAAAGCAAAAGTAGATAAAAAATACATGGCGGTCGCTAATTGGTTAATCGAATGACTGACGTAATCGGGTCAAATGTCGTTTGCTTGGTACCTGACGTCATAGAATAACTTGTTAGATCTACATGTTGTGTAGGCCATTGAAAGTATAAAAAACGAAACGAAATATAGATCTATATTTTAATTAGATTGATTGAACAACAGGCAAAAGCCTATATATGTTCTCTCCAGTGGCAGATGTGCATGCGCCCACTCTATTCTTTTATGTGTTCTTGTACTCTTGGATTTATTAATAGTAGTATTTCCAAATTCCTTGCACTTCACTGGGCTTTACTCCCCTCCCCCCACCCTCTTGTATCCTCTTATCACTAGACCTGGCCCATTATTTCTAGCTTTGCTCTAATTTTTTGACACCCCCCACCCCTTTTCTTAAAAAATCTAATAACAAATAGCTTTATAGCATATAATCTTCAGGAGAGTAGAACGTTAAGTAAGAACAACTCAAAAACACACTTTTATGGATAACAAAATAAGTAAGAACAACAGCTTTCAATTTTGAAAAGATACTTAAGTTATGATTATTGAAGAGTTATATCTGTTAAAACAAATTACCAAGAATTATTTTTGTTTAAGTCAGGTTATATCAAAGGGAATGGAAGCTTATAAATAGCCTATTTTCTACCTGGACCTCATTTGAAATTCTGTCCGGTTCGTTTCAAAATGGATTAATAACACTGCTTATGATGATTGCAAAATTGAAGAGTAACATCTGTTAAACACAATAAACTTACTTTGATTTTAGAGTCCTTTTCTTCTAGATCTATTTCTGCTTGCTGTAGTTTTCTATTTAACTCATCTCGTTCGGGCAATCCTTTACTCTCACACAATTTTTTATATTTTTTTAATCTGACTTTATATACATCTAAATCATCTTCTGCATCGCGTAAATAACGATCAGCCTTTTCATATTTCTCTTTCATTCTTCGATTCTGTTCTCGTAAAGCACGCACTTCGTTACTATGTTTAGTCAATAACTGCGGAAGCTCACTTTCTTTTTCTTCAAATTTTCCTAAAGCTTTTTCGTGACGAAATTGCATTTTCTTTAAAGTTTTATTTTCAGATAGTAGTTGTTGGATTTGAGCTTTCTGCTCTTCCAGCTGATTTCTGAATTCATTTTGTTTTATTCTGCTGGCAGACATCATTCTCATAGCTACTGAACTATTACCGGATCTGTGTACGTCTTGTTTCATACTTTGACTAGTTCGCCCTCTTCCTCTCCCTCGGCCTCTACCTCTGGTTTTTATTGTGTAAGGACTTGCTGAAATTACATTAAAAAATCTATTATAAAAAGACTAAAATATATCATAATTATTTTGAATTCTGTAGCGGTTCTGAAATTACATAAAAAGATCTATTACAAAAAGAGTAAAATATAACATTTCTACTCAAACACTGAATTTAAAGTTTTAGTACACCTAAAACAATGCCTACATCTTGTTCAGTTTAATGTCATAAAAAAAAAAAAACAATATGAATTCAGTCCAGATTCGCCTAATTACCGGTACATACGAAAAATTTGAATTACAAAATTAATTATGTCTTAAGTAAAAAAAAACGAAAAAAAAAACAGACCTTCAAAGTTTATACTTATAATTTGAAACAATAAATCTTGCAAAGCACACTGTTTTTCAAAATTTAATATTTTTTTTTTATTTTGATGATCATGGATCATATTCAATGGCTTGGAGCTAATGGTAATTTCAAATGTCTAGGAAAATAAAATGACCATTAGAAAAGTTATAAAGTAGGCTAATCAACCAGAATTAAATTTCAATAAATTTGAAATGTTATGAACTTAGTAATAGAAGAAATAACTGGTGATAAGAAGCACTGATTCAACCTGTCAACCATACCGTAACTCTGTCCACGAAAATTGTACTTAATTAATGTTGCTTAGCCACTGATCTTCAAATCATATTAAAATTAAAACCAAATAGTTAGAGCATTAATAAGAGAATAATCCATTTATTAATCTAATCTATCTAATCAGATGATTATTTTTTTAGGTTTGACAGTAACAATTTATTTTATAAAATGATCTTTCTTAAACATTATAATTACATGTAAGTTGTCAAATCTGATTAAGATATTATGTAACTTGATCACTTAAATTGCAACTGTCAGTTTACTGTCACAGATGATTGAACTGTTTTATGATTAGCTCGCTATATTTCCTCATTCTGTTTGTAATTGGCTGTGATTTGCAGCGCCCCACATGGGGGGATGGGGGGGGAAGGACCAGAAATATTCATTTTGTAAGAATATTCTTAATAAAAACTTGAATTTTAACAAATTTCTTGCATCATAAAAAATCAACTGAGCTCTGGCATTGAAGAAAGCAGTTACAGAATGTAAGGGTCGGGGCGTCACTGAAACTTTTGCCCTGGGGCGGTACATAAGCTTGTGAGAGCCCCTGGTGATTTGGGGAATTTGTTGAGATTCTGTAAGTTACATGTAGTCTAAACAATTCAATAATGACTAAATCATGATATAAATGTTGGATTTTTTTTCTTTAGAATAAAGCAGATTTATCTTATTGTTTTACACACAGATAATAAGAATGCTCTCTTTGAAGATAATTTAACTTTTCAAACAAAATTCATAAATTGTTTTACTTCATCACAGTATTGCATGTATGATATATACTCAATCAAAAGATTAGATTACAGAAATGCCAATTCATTAATTATAATATAATGTGACTTTTATAAATTCCAAGAAATTTTTTTATTTAGGGTCAGACTCAGATATTGCCTTCAAAAACGATTATCAGATCTAAAGAAATTTCAAATAACTCCTGCTACCAGCTTTTAACGAACTATTTGTATTGACTGATGATGACATTACTTTGTTTTTAGTTGACAACTCGACTTATCTATTAATTAATTAAAAGACAAATTAATTTGGACGTATTCCAAGAAAATCTCATTGATTTTCTGTAGGTAAGAACACTAATTATATATATATAAGTTGATATAAAAGATAAGAGTAGCTATGAAGACCTGGTTATCCAAGGAGAAAGTGACTAATTTTGTTCGTATATTAAAGTTGCTTATCATCATTCAAGTATATTCTACACACAGAGAACTATCTACTCTACTTCGAGAATAGATGGGGATCACGTGGCTAAGTGGGTAAGACGCTGGCTCGCTAGCCTGGAGGTCGGGTGTTCGATCCCTGCATTGGCCGAGAAAGTTCATCCAGATTTTCCGACGTGGTTTCCCCTTGTCAGTGATGCAGGACGGAGGGCCTGACAAGGACAGCTGTCTAGTCGCTCAGATGGCGTGAAATGTAAAGGATCCCCTTGCAGTTGGAATTCGATATAAGAGTAGGCTGTAGCGCCGCTGCACGGGCAAAATTTCCCTCATAGCACACTGTATGGTGTATGCCTGTCTTCAATAGCCCAGTTTAGGAGCAGAAAAGTAGGACGTTAAAGCCCATTTCATTTCATTTCATTTCATTTCAAGAATAGATCTCTGCCCTAAATGGTTGTCATATCCAACAATTAGCATACTGTTTTGTAATGTGGTCCTACACAAAAAGACTAATTAAACCTTTTCAATTTTATTAAATGAAAACAGAATATATACTTCTCAGAATTCTTGAAATACAATTAGTGTTTTCAACTAAAATCGTCAATTTAGGACCCAAAAAGTTGGTCAACTAGTTAGAAAGTTTATAATGCATTCTACGTGTGACGTCACATCACATGGCATCAATCTTTGTCTCGATAGCATGTGCAATGTTTACATAATGTGAACTGGTCTGGGCAGAATGGTGCCCTTTACTCATTTGGTATATCCATTCACACTACATGCATGTAGGTAATATTTTTTAACCAGATATATTTCAAACACCTTTATTTTTCTATTACTTCACACAAATGTTCTAGAATTTAATTTGCAGAAGAAAAAAAAGTTAATGTTTCAAGCTAATTACCCCCCCCCCCACCCCCCACCCCCACCCAAGCCGATGTCATCCCTTTCTGTGATTGTAGTGGCCTAGGGAATATTCACTGCTGACCAGTATGACCGAGCCACTGTCACTCCCAGCAATGGCTTTAAAGAGTATATATAATTTACAATGAATATAATTGTACTTTTACTAACAATGGTGTTTAGAAGTCTTCATAACTAAAAGGATTAGTGGTAATGTTTTCGTTTTTTTTTTTTATGGCTGATAATCAGTTTGAACAAAACGGCAGATCAATGATCAATAATCTTTGAAGGTCAACTCAAGGTTAGAAATAAAAACAACCAGAAATGAATGGGCTTCATTAACAACCATTTAACTATTGTTTAAATACTGGTGGTACATAAATCAATAAGTAACAGAACACTATTTTATGGGAAATAATCACTGGTTTATTCTAAAAGCACATTTCGACAAGTAGGATACTTGTCGAAACGTCGTGCTTTTAGGATACTTGTCGAAACGTTGTGCTTTTAGGATACTTGTCGAAACGTTGTGCTTTTAGGATACTTGTCGAAACGTTGTGCTTTTAGAATAAAACCAGTGATTGTTTCCCATAAAAACTGTGTTCTGTTAATGTATTTCCCAATCGCTAAATGTCATTTAAAGATTATAATCAATATGTAGACAGTGATTTACATCAATCATCATAGAAGAATATTTATATAGAGAGTGTAGGTTATTAATTCTATCGGTATTAATGAATCAGCAATATTTATTTCTATGTTTTTTAATGAACAAAACTCTCAAACACATATTTATATATGGTAGCGCAGGCAATGAGTGCAATAATAATTGATGTGAAGTCATCCTTTGTCGCCTTTGATGTTGGCGTACTATTATTTGAAATGTGCCAAGCGTACTACTAGTTGCAATATTGGACCGATGTGATGTATTTCATTGAAATGCACATGCTGGATAGTGTCTGTATTTTGCATTTTCACTAAAATATCAAATCTCTCACAGCTTAATTATATAATAATCCACCCTAATGTACTTAGATTGATTATTTAATAGTTAATTAACAAATTGAAATACCAATGCTGGATAACCTCCAGGCTTGGATTCAATTCGATTTAAAACAGTGAGCAGCATAGATCGATGAAATTTCAATTCAATTATATAATTGTGAACACTGAACGGAATTAGTAGGATGAAAATTCCTATTAGAGATTCATCTTTCAAAATACAAGGAATTCCTATTGCACTAAAATGATGCAATGAGACGTCTATAACATGCGTCTGTAAAGATGCAATAACACATTTAAAGATACATTCCTGTGTACAAACTGGGTGATTTGATGATATATTTGGCCTAAAAACATATTCAAACTAATCAATTTATCATAAATTTGCTTCAAATCCTTCTCAAAACATTGTAATTGTCAAGGAATACCCTTGCTATAAGAAATTGATCAAAAGAGGTCATGTTTGTGTCTCGTGACTTACGGGTGCGAAGTCGGAGGAGAATTCATTGCATACACAAGACGATGTTGTCTTAAATCCCTGACTATTTATTACAAATATTGAATCGTAATTAAATTCTCGGATTATCCACTGTCCGCGTCTTTTTCTGTGATTTTTACCTCAGAAAGTGTTGTACGTCTAACTCTTCATAAAGTTTATCAACCTATCTTTTAGATATTACTTATTTGATATTTCACATTGCTTTGGTGTAAGCTTATAGATTCATCATATTATTTTGTTCTATAAAACTTACATTTCTTGGGAGGCTGTGATTTAGTTGGTTGTTTGATGGAGACAATATCATCTTCACTTACAAAATCATCACTATATCTGCTGCAATCATCATCCTCACTATAATCAGAACGATCAGCCATTTTCACGCTGTTCTCAAAAAAGGTCAAATTCAAATATTTCTTGTATATAAAGATAGATGATATTTACTGTCATAAATATTTGAAGATGTAGAGCACTTGGTTACAGGATGGTTCATAGTGGAATTGTTGACCTTAAAAATATAGTAAAATTTACATCAATTGTTGAAAAAATTAATAAAATGCATTATACGATAAAAGTTGATTTTAAAATTTTATTGGACAATTTGGTAACAAAATAACCGTTCTCAAGATAATTGGACTTTCTAACAACACCATTTAAATCTAACCACAAACATATGATGTGGTGATGAAATAATTCCAAGGTTTGGGCAAAAGGGCTCATTTGCTATATATTTGAATGAGAAAAAATAGGATGAAGATGAAAGGCCAATGATTTGGGTCAAGAATAAAATATTGGATTTAATGTGTTGATCTGTTTTGTGGGATAACAATTTTAAGTCCATAGATAAAGCCAGTGATGATGAGATAACCATTTTGTATTCCACCAGCTACCAATAATTAAACTAAAATTAACAAACAACTGACTTCAACTTAATCTTTCAAAGCCAAAATTAAATTGCATAAGATTAAGATTATACATGTAACTTGCCCTGGGCAAATTGTATTAGTTCATCGATAACATGAGTTGATATCATTAAAGGTATATTTTATAACAAAGTTTGTGTCATTTTAACTAAATTCAGATGTTAATGCATTGTCAAAAAATGTTGAAACAAACAACCATGTTAGTTGTTTTTATACAGTTTTATGGCATAGACTTGAATTAGAGATGGGTGTTCCTATTCAAAGGGGAAGCCGCTTGTGATCATAATCTCACCAAGAGACACGTTTTTCAAAAGATGTGCTTTCGAACAAATGGAGAGAAGATCTAAATGTAAACCACTTAAAGACTTTCAAAGAGAAAAATAATGACCAGAAAAAGGTAAATTATTGAAAACAAGAGTAGCCTCCCTTTTGTCAAAATAAAAGGCATTTCACAAAATTAATGGCCTTAATATCAATTATAAAATGGGTTCATTAAATTCTCGACTGTCATAAAAGTAGGTATCATAAGAAAACACTGAAAGTGAACCATCAATAAGTTATTGATCATGCAGTTTCACTCATTCAAGTATGAAACTACATGCTCTTACACTAGTAGGACTGATAGTGATAATATATGGTGCAAAAACATGTATACCAATAAGATTCAAGAAGTCAAGCTGCAACATATCAGTGACAATTAAACATACATTATGCAAGAGCAAAATCGGCCTATTGTAGGTCTTTCTTTAGGCCTGAAATGTTATAAAAACTATTAATTAGACATTGCCTGCGATATTTGTTGGATTACAGTCCGATTTGCTGCAAAACTTTCCTTCGTGATTAATGATTAAATGGATAATCAAGACTATTAGTTTTGTCTTATCGACTTCAGTAATGATGATCGAGGCTAAGCGGAACTTTCATCCTCTTAGATCTCGGTTCATAGTGGATCAATTTGTGTGAAATTTTCAGCAAGTTGCCTTTACATAATGTAGTTTTTAACTATTATAGTGAGAACTGCCAACTCGTTATCTAATCTCCCATAATGTATCTTTAACCTCACGGTTTGACTCAGTACATAACCAGTTTGCCTTGACTCGTTATTTGTGCATGGGTTTGTGTGATAAATTTCCAGTTAGGCTACTGCCGTACTAATACTGTGTTTGTCCATCTCATGCTTTCACAATAATCTCAATTCTAATTCTCTAATACTTTTACTAATACCATCTATTGAAAATTGAAGACAAGAATTGATTTCTCTTTACTAATGAAACACACTGACACAGACTATTAGATTTATTACGCTATTTAAATGTTTGATTTGGTGCTAGAATTTCTTGTCTATTTAAAAATCTACACATTATTTCGTAATCTACTTATAAAGTTATCATATGTTATAAACTATTTTATAGGCCCTATTATCTAGTATATACCTATAGGCTAGGCCTAGTCTCTAAATAATAATTACCGGTTACTTTAGTATTAAACATAAGTGGGGATCATGCAGGTTGATCTATGGTTTGTGTGAAAATATCTTCAATGGCCACATACAGTTGGGTAGGCTAATGATCGAATAGCATTAAAATTTTAAAAAACATAAATATATTGACACTCAAACTGTCAACGTTCATCAAAGTATGCATTGCATCCAATTCCAAACGAAAAACCTGTCCAGACTCAATACGGCGCGGTAAATAAAATACACTCGCAAATATCATTTATGGGCATGCACAGGAGGGTCGTATCAAATGTAATAGTATCAAGAATATTCGTTACCTTATTCGAGTACGCGAACTCATCTTTTCCGTGAAACGCAGCCTGTCTTCAAGTCGTAAAATTTATAAAACCAATATTTATTGAAAGTAAACTATTTTGTTTATCTGCCCAGCAACACCACCAACTGCACACAAAGTGGTGACGTCAGGAAGACCGGAATGTGATATACGTCACTAGAATATGTGCTGATGTACATCCCAAACTTGGTAAACTTACGGCAAGAAATTCTTAATCTGTTCATCTGACATCGAATATCATACAAGATAATTAAGTAAAGATCACGAAACGATTTCGATACCGTATTTAATATTCTAACGAAAGCAAGAACCCACCAAAATGGTTATTAAGGTGTATATGACCAACATAATTAGCAGTAATGTGGTAAGTTATTTTTAAAGTTAAAGGGGAACTCTATCATTCTTAAACTTAAAACAGCTAAACTTAAAGGGGCAGTGGAGTGAATTGCGATGAATTATTACAAGCTATAGCTGGAAAACCTATAACAACATTGTGTTTGGGTGACTGGGCGTTTGAGTTATAAAATATTGTCTTCATTAGATCCGATGGTCCAGAAAACTAGGACGTAACACCAGTTGCACAATGTACGCAAATCCACCCAAATCCACCATTATTTCTACTCATACCACAATAATATATATCAATATTTGATAATATACTGTTCTTTATACCAAATTGTTATATTTAATTCAAAACCGTGTTAATAAACCCCTCAAAAGGTGGTTTCCAAGCTAGCGATTTTGTGTACCGGTTATACACAAGTTATGTCCCTCGCGTTAAAATCTTCAAACATGCTTGGAAATCACATTTTTGAAGGGTATTTTTGATACATATACTCCATGATTTTCAATTGTAAAGGGCAATTTGGCATTACAAACAGTATATTATCAAATATTGATATAAATTATTGTGATATTAACCTGATTCGGTTGGCTTTGGGGGAATGCTACCGGATGCGGGTCAGTTCATCCCACAACCGTTTAACCCCGGGCTGTTTCATCCCAACCTAATTTTTTATCGGACTGTTTCATCCCGGCCTGTTTCATCCCCCTTGTTATTATAATAGCAGTCAATTAACTGAGTTGTACTTATCGTTAAATAAACTGTTAAACACTTACTTATTGTTAAATAAACAATAATGTATGGAATGAATAAGTTTTACTCGTCGATTTTTGTTGATTATCGATCACGACCGAGATAAGTTCACCGCTGTATATTCGTATTGTTTATTCGTATTGTTAGTTAATTGCCGTTATGATTTTAGATTAGTTCACCGATGTTTTTGTAATAAAGTATACTCGTATGTATTGTTTGTTAGTTTATGATGTCTAACATCATTTATCTTCTTTATAAAAAGGTATTTTATAATTACATATTGACAGCTTAATCACTCGCCAAAATACATCATGGACTCTATACGTATTATCAAATAATCAACTAAATTGCACAGGAGCCCCTTTTAAATAAGACAAATTAGATTGATAATTGATTTTAAAACTAATCGTTGATTTAATTTCCGTACATGAAATGAAACTAAACAATTCCGAATATAAGAATTCATTTAGAATACCAAAATGTGAATCGTAACACATTGTGGTCTAAACTGTGTGATAAATGATAAAATAAATCGTAAATCAATGGAACTTGTTGTAAGGTGGACATTGCCTGCTTTCTTTTAACGTTGGGTTATTTGAGGCGCCAGGTAGTCTGAACATCTCAAGATAACACGTGTCGAAGTAGTCGCTACATGCAATTTTATTCTTTGATCTGTTCTATCACTGGCAATCCTGTTATAGTGAAACCAACTATTCATGATAAAATTGCATTGACATTGTTATTGGTATTAATGTATAAATAAAATATTAAAAATTCATGTAATACCATTTTTATACGCCCACATTTTCATGTGGACGTATTATGCCGTCGCCCCTGTCCGTCCGGATGTCCGTCCGTCCACAATTGTTTGTGGACTCTCTACAGGTCACAATTCTTATCCGATTTCGACGAAACTTGAAATATAGGTTTATCCTCAAAAGATCTCGGCTGCTTTCGATATTGGCATGTATCGGATCGAAACTTCATGGATTATGGCCCCTGTTTGTACGAAAAATCACGTTTTTAGCTTGTGGACCCTATAGAGGTCACAATTTTTATCCGATTTTGTTGAAACTTGAAATGTAAGTTTATAACCCAAAGATCTCAGTTCCTTTCGATATTTGCGCATATCGGACCGTAACTTCCTGAATTATGGCCCCTGATTGTACGAAAAATCACGTTTTTAGCTTGTGGACCCTATAGAAGTCATAATTTTTATCCGATTTAAAAAAACGTTCTATTATATCACCGTTACACCCTAAGGATGACTGAGTTCGAATTTCGTGAAAACAGGCCCAAAATTGACAGACAAAATGGCCGCCGTTCGTTCCCAAATAGCGTAAAAATATGGTATATCAAGGTTGTGGACCCTATAGAGGTCACAATTTTTATCCGATTTTGTTGAAACTTGAAATGTAAGTTTATAACTCAAAGATCTCAGTTCCTTTCGATATATGTGCATATCGAATTGTAATTTCCTGAATTATGGCCCTTGATTGTAGGAAAAATCACTTTCTTGTTAGCTTGTTCTCTATCCATCTCTCGAAAATGTGGGCGTATCCTGCCTAGCAGCCGCTGGTTTAAATTTGTGGGATGAAAAGACTCGATATAAGTGGGATAAAAGGACCAGTGTAAATTTGGGATGAAACGGCCCGGATGAAACAGCCCGGGGTGAACCGGTAGTGGGATGAAACGACCTGCTCCCAATGCTACCATCCTGTTAAACCCCATTTGTAGACAGATCCAAATAGTTATTCATAAGTTAATGTACAGTAACAATCCATTATAATTATACATTTGAAATGAATTCTGGTAGTGTTTACTAGAGATTGAAATAGTTAGGCCTATTCTTTATAATATTATTTAACTAGCCTATCAGTATTATTGTACATATAAATTAATCTTGTGGCAGACATGAGGAGTTTTCCATCTAAATCACATGACTATGAATGAATTCCAGTGATTTCTGATGAATTCCAGCATTAAATCAGGCACCTGACCCTCAGGCCTATCAAAAACCATCATTATCTATCTGTACTGGGTAAATCTGGGCCTACCTGTACTGTACATGTATTTAATGTTTATATCTATATATATATACCGGTAAGCTTTATAACTGCCTGTCTCCAATTAAAGCTCCCACCTGCCGTTTCTTCTTGGAATTATAATTGGTATAAGCCCCCTATCTACCATATTACTATAAACATTATTACCTAACAGTATTAAAGATAGATCTTAAATAATGCTGTACAGAACCCTGAGGTTACAAGCCACCTAAATACTTCTACCTTGGATTTTTTGCTCAATTCCATTTAATCCAATCCACAATGTTGAATGCACAATTAAAATTAAAAAGGTTTTAATAGAAAGCAAGGAAGGGGGTTGGATGGCCGGATGTTTAGTACGTACGCGCTGTATCATAAGGTCTGTCTTTGAGTCAACTGGTTCCGATTCCCCGGTTGTTGGTGACAAGGAGTAAGGTCGCCTGTCCAACCTCATGTGTTTTCTCCGGGTCCTCTGGTTTCCTCCCACTGCTAAAGACCCCTATGCGCAAGCGAATTATTGAAATAAAATTGAACCATGTGTTAGTCCCGAAATGACCTAGTTTGTGTTGAGTGGACATTAAACCCCATTTCTCTCTCTCTCTCTCTCTCTCTCTCTAATAGAAAGCACTAATTATTGAATATTAACATGTATTTACAGATAAGAAAACAGCAGTTGCACGTATCAGATTTATTAAATAGTTTACAAATTGATCATGAGAATATTGATGTTAGTGACCCTTCAGAGGAAGAAGCCTTGAAATTTATGAGATCAAATAGTACACCAAAGAAACCAGGACAAAGGCCTCTTCCACCACAGTTGTTCAATGATGATGAATATTGTGGGGTAAGTTATTGTATAGATCTACCTAATTAAAGGAACTAAATCGCTATTTTTTTGCACCTGGAAATGGATACAAATGGGTCACATTGCATATTATATTGTATTGTGAATGTATAAACTGATTTTCATTCATTTGTCTACACCAGTAGTACATGTATTCTCCTGTGGGGTATGTTTAGACTTGTTCATCGAATCGCTTCATTACAAAGCAATTCGTGTGCCAATTTTAAAATTTTCATTTTGTCTTAAATATTGGATATCAAAAGCCCATCTTTTCACGATAAGATAAATCAATGTTGATTTAAATTGACCAAAAAGTCGTGTTTGCAATGTCGAAGACTATGGATGATATTGAGTTAGCGACTTGCTTTCTTTGATTTCAAATGAATTATCTACAAGTAATCTGTTATTCTAAATTACATAATCTGCTATTTGTAAAAAATGAGTAATGTATGCTGTGATTTTCTTATGGACTATAGTAATTAGTATAGTTCTAACAGTTTATGATATTGTGGTCGAAAAAAGAGTCCTAAATAAAAAGTAATAAACGGAAATGTTTAATGTTTTTTTATTATAATTTGTTAAATCTTTTTTATTTATATTCCAATGAATTTGATTTGTGTCAGATATACTTAATTTATTTTTTTTTTGATGCTATAGATAATTAAATTTGAGGCTTGTCATATTGGAAATATTTATATGTGTCATATTTACATGCTTTTTGGAATGTAATTACATGGCAATTACTTTAAAAAATATAATGATTACCTTCCATTACCATTGCCCCAGCCCAGGTAGACATTATAGATTACATTTCGATGAAGAGTACATGTAGGTGGAAATAACGTTGGATGGTTTTTATTAGCCTAGGTAGTGTAGAAAAGGTATTTTATATTTCTGGCATCAATGTTTACTTTTTAGGATTATTTTATTTCTTCTTTTTTTTTTTTATAACAGGACTATGAAGCATTTGCTAATGCCATCGAAGCAAATGAAATATTTGAATTTCTAAAATTAGCAGCACCAAAACAAGTGTCCACAGGCTCAGTTCTGATTGTAAGTAAATTATGATTATATGAAATGCTCTGATTCAGTTGAAATCTCTCTCATCAAAAAAAGCTACCACTTTATTATTTGAATGGATAAATAGGCCTACTAGGTATATTTTTCAAAAACAAGATCTTCCAAAATTAGTCGCAGGAAACAGTTATGGTAATAATGTCAGTCATTGATAAAGTCTGATATGTGTTTCTACCTTATATGGAGAAGTTTGGCCCAAAGATCAAGCCCAGTTTAAAATATCAGAATATTATATTGTTTTATGGCGTTTGATTAGCCACATGCTTAAAAAAAGATAAATTTGTGTCAATTTGCCCTGAAAAACAGGGGATCATATTGGGTTTATGCCAAGTAAAGTATTGACCTGTTAGTTAGAAGAAATGTCTTACTAAAGAAGTCACTGTATTTCTGAATGCTGTGTGGCCAAAGACATGACATACCAGTATTGACTTGTTGTTTTTAATCAACTAAATGTCAACCTGAATTAAACGTACATTATGCAAGAGCTAAATCTGCCTATTGCAGATCTTTCTTTAGACCTGAAATGTTATATAAATTATTAATTAGACATTTATTAACGTGAAAAGACCATAATCAACTCTTGATGCCATCTTATCTGTCTGATTTTCATTCGATTTAAATATGATCTGATGTTCAACACCCATTTACGATTGAACACAAAAATGGATAATCAAGACTGTTAATTATCGTGATAGCGGTAACAATGACAATCAAGGCTACAGTGATTTTAAGATAAGGTTTTCTCGGCTTAGAGTGAAGCAATTTGACTGAAATTTTCAGCATATTTCCTTTACATTAGTAAGAACTGCCCAGCTCTTTATCTAGTCTTCCATAATGTATTGTTTCGAATCCCCGGTAGGGTCGCCTGTCCAACCTCGTGGTCTTTCCTCCAGGTTGTCCGGTTTCCTCCCACTGCTAAAGACCCCTACGTGCAAGCGAATTATTCAAATAAAATTAAACCATATGTTAGTCCCGAAATGACCTAGTTTGTGTCGACTGGACGTTTAAACCCCATTTCTCTCTCTCTCCATAATGTATCTTTAAATAGTGTTTATATGAAAGTGATATATTTATATACTAGGAAGATGAAGAAGAAAAGATGGATAAGGTATTTAATGTATTAATGCATGACAAAAATGTGTGTGATTTCAAGTACTCAAAATCCACCGTATCAGTTGATATTACCCATTTCCTAGTATTGATTTGTAAACACAAATGCCAAGATTAGATTGCTGAAAAACAAACATGAAATTGTTGTTCAGTAGAATAAAAGTGTATTTTGAAATGGTAGTAGGAGTTTGAAATTAGATAATAGTTGCGTAAGTTGACACAGCTAGGCAGTAATATTGATATTACGTGCAATTAAGCTAGAAATCTGTGTATAAAGCATGATGAAAACATTGATTGCCCCAGCTTCCTAAGGACAAAACTTAAAGTGAAATTTTTATGGATAGTACATCTCAGGCCTGTAGCCAGCTTGCGGAGGTGCAGTGAAGGTTTGAGGTGGGGAGGGGGGTGCAGTCTACACCTACAGTAGGTATTTTAGAGCTGTTGTCAGCAAATTTTTTTCGGGGTGTCAAAAAATTGTTTATGGGGGGCATTGTCCCCCTTTGCCCACCCCCAACCCCCGCTGGCTACGGGCCTGGTATATCTATAGATGTTGAGCATACTGTTAATTGTTTCTAAGTTTTTAATAGCATGGTTTATTTGGAAAACCTAACGTCGGAATGAATTACTAATTATGTTATAACACAACCCTTAACTGGTCAGGTAGAAAATTGTTATAACTTCTAGTCACATGTTTTATATATATATATATCAGTTTAAACGTCAACTCAACATGTGATATCCAGGTGATTGTCAAGTTTATCGACATCAATTTATGGCTGATCAGATAAGAGTTATCCAAACCTAATGTGCAATGTGATTTTATATACTAGAAATTTTAGTCAACTTTTTGAATAATATTAATTTATATATAGGCTACAGTAGCTCCAGTGGCATTTACCGAGTAGTGATTGAACACTAGTAACTCACTAAAAACTATTTATGGAATAACAATTACTGGTTTATTAACATAAAACTTTTCAACGATGATACTCTCGTCTTTATTAAAGCAAGTGATTGAACAGTAGTAACTCACTAAAAACTATTTATGGAATAACAATAACAAACAATTACTGGTTTATTAACATGCAAAGTTTCAACGATGATACTTTTGTCTTTATCATCATTTGATTGATAAAGACGAGAGTATCATCGTTGAAACATTGCATGTAAATAAACCAGTAATTGTTATTCCATAAATAGTTTTTAGTGTGCAAGTGTACTTTGTTAAAAAGGTTGTGTTAAACTGTGGACATAGATTGTTTGCTGTTACTAGGCGGACACACCCACACACATTCTCCTATACATTTTAACTTTAATTAGAAATACTTGCACATTGTTGTAAAGCAGATAAACTAAAAACAAGCAGAACACATTTAAAAAGCCTTTCGCTTGCATACTCAATCTTACAGTATTTTAACAGTTAATACTAAAATAGAGAAATATTAAAACAAAGAATTGGCTGTGACTTTGTAAAATGAGATAAAAAGATAGTATTTCCTTATTCTTTGAGAAATGCTAGCTAATTTATTATAAAAAAAACCTTGTTAGTCTTAACAAGGCATTTCAGATTAACAGTTAATACTAAAATAGAAAACTATTAAAACAAAGAATTGACTATGACTTTGTAAACTGAGATAAGAAGATAATATTTCCTTCTTGAAATGCTGACCATGTTATTATCCCCTTGTTAGTCTTAACAAAGCATTTCAAATTAACAGTTAATACTAAAATAGTATACTATTAAAACAAAGAATTGACCATGACTTTGTAAACTAAGATAAAAAGATAGTATTTCCTTCTTCTTTGAGAAACGTTAGTCAAGTTATTAAAAAAATCCCCTTGTTAGTCTTAACAAGGCATTTCAGATTAACAGTTAATACTAAAATAGAAAACTATTAAAACAAAGAATTGGTTGTGACTGTGTAAACCGAGATACGAAAATAGTATTTCCTTCTTCTTTGAGAAATGTGAGCCAAGTTATTAAAAAAAATCCCCTTGTTAGTCTTAACAAGGCATTTCAGATTAAGATTGTTATAGCTTGCTCTGTTTAAATGCATGAACTACCGCATGGTGAAGATGGGTGTGAATTTTATAATTGTTTGCTCTTATAAATAGAGATTTGTTGACCCTACCACAGTTTGCTACCACTCCTTAATAAATTTCAGGTAAGTCTATATTGATTTAACATGTTTATGTCATTATGTGTGGACAAATTTATTTCCTACTTTTCTATAGATAATAGTTCTTCATTTCTAGACCTATTTAAAAGTCGTATATTTCCTATCTAATATTTTGGATTAACAGAGTGACACCCCACCCCCATCTCCCAAATATTTGTGGTCCATAAACTTGATGATCTTTTACTCTAATATTTATTTTTATTTTTTTATTTTATTTTTTTGTCCCCCGCCTTTCGAAGAAAGCAGGGGACTATTAAAATGGGTTCGTCCGTCTGTCTGTCTGTCTGTCTGTCTGTCCGTCTGTCTGTCCTTCTGTCTGTCCGTCTGTCTGTCCGTCACACTTTTTGGGACACAATAACTCTCTTCCTAATTGAGCTAGAATGTTCAAACTTGGTGTATGTGTTTATTAGGTCAATGCCTTGATGGAGTTCGAAGATGAGCATTTTCCGCTTAGGGTAAGCAGAGATAAGCAATTTGATTGGTTGATGCTTTGGGACACGATAACTCTCTTCCTAATTGGGCTAGAATGTTCAAACTTGGTGTATGTGTTGATTAGGTCAATGCCTTGATGGAGTTCGAAGATGAGCATTTTCCGCTTAGGGTAAGCAGAGATAAGCAATTTGATTGGTTGATGCTTTGGGACACGATAACTTTTAATTGAGCTAGAATGTTCAAACTTGGTGTATGTGTTTATTAGGTCAATGCCTTGATGGAGTTCGAAGATGAGCATTTTCCGCTTAGGGTAAGCAGAGATAAGCAATTTGATTGGTTGATACTTTGGGGCACGATAACTCTCTTCCTAATTGAGCTAGAATGTTCAAACTTGGTGTATGTGTTGATTAGGTCAATGCCTTGATGGAGTTCGAAGATGAGCATTTTCAGCTTAGGGTAAGCAGAGATAAGCAATTTGATTGGTTGATGCTTTGGGACACGATAACTTTAGTTCTAATTAAGTGAGATTGATGAAACTTGGTGTATAGTTTCATTACAGTAATACCTTGACTAAGTTTGATAATGAGCATTTTCTGCTCAGGGTAAGCAGAGCGATACGCAATTTGATTGGTCGAGACTTTGGAAAACAATAACTCTCCTACTTTGATTGTCCCCCGCCTTTCGAAGAAAGCAGGGAACTATTAAAATGGGTTCGTCCGTCTGTCTGTTTGTCTGTCTGTCCGTTCCGCTTATGGTAAGCAGAGATAAACAATTTGATTGGTTGATCTTCGAATTGAGTAAATGTTCATGCTTATTGTCCCCCGCCTTTCGAAGAAAGCAGGGAACTATTAAAATGGGTTCGTCCGTCTGTCTGTTTGTCTGTCCGTTCCGCTTAGGGTAAGCAGAGATAAACAATTTGATTGGTTGATGCTTTGGGACACTATAACTTTAGTTCTAATTAAGTGAGAGTGATGAAACTTGGTGTATAGTTTCATTACAGTAATACCTTGACTAAGATCGATAATGAGCATTTTCTGCTCAGATTAAGCAGAGCGATAAGCAATTTGATTTGCTGAGACTTTGGAACACAATAACTCTCTAATTATTTTCCTATTTCGGCGGGGGACATCAGCCTCACTGTTGGCTTGTTTTTACAAAAAAGACCCCAATAAATATTATTATTATGTTGTTAGAATATTGATCGACCTCCAAACATGTATTTTTACTAAATTCAACCACAAATTATCCAAAATGTAAAAGGATCATAAATATGAATAAAAATTGATTCACTTTAAAGTTTACTGTGAAATTGATCAATTTGATACAGTCTAAAGGGGGTCAACATAATTCATCATGGTATAAAAGGTGACATATTTATTCATGGAAAAAAAAATACAATTTAGAACTAATTGCCCTGTCAGACTCACTTTTGATCTGGCTCAAGATATTTATACTCTTATAGGTTGATATTTACTATACTATTATAGGATATTTATGCTATTATAGGATGTTTATACTTTTATAGGATATTTATATATTATTATAGGTTGATATTTTTATAGGATATTTATACTATTATAGGATATTTATGATATTTATACTATTATAGGTTGATAATTATAGGTTGATTTCTACTATTATAGGTAAAGCTGTATTTGTATTACAGGAAAAAGGTGAAGATGATGAAGAGGAGGATGAAGTAGATGGTGAAAAAAAGGATGATGAAAAAGATGGTGAAACAACAGAAGACGATAAATCTGAAAGTAAAGATGAGGAAGAAACTAAAGAAAAGAAAAATGTTAAAAAATTCAAACGAGATGATGATGAAGAAGAGGATTTATTTTCTGGATTAGAAGAAACAAACGATGAGGAAGAAAAGAAAGAGGAAGAAGAAAAGGAAGAGGTGAAAAAACCAGTAAAGAAGTTCAGAAGAGATGATGATGAAGAAGACGATCTATTTGCTGGACTGGAGGAAACAAAAGATGAGGAAGAAAAGAAAGAGGAGGAGGAAAAGGAAGAGGTGAAGAAACCAGTAAAGAAGTTCAGAAGAGATGATGATGAAGAAGAAGATCTTTTTGCTGGACTGGAGGAAGCAAAGGATGAGGAAGAAAAGAAAGAGGAGGAAGAAGTTAAACCGCCACCGAGGAGGTTCAAGCGAGATGATGACGAAGAAGAGGATCTATTTTCAGGACTCGAGGAAGCAAAGGATGAGGAAGAAAAGAAAGAGGAGGAAGAAGTTAAACCGCCACCGAGGAGGTTTAAACGTGATGAAGAAGAGGAAGAAGATCTGTTTTCAGGACTTGAAGAAGCAAAGGAAGATGCAAAAGAAGAGGAAAAGGAGGAAGAGAAACCACCAGTGAGGAAATTTAAACGGGATGATGAAGAAGAAGAAGATCTGTTTTCAGGACTTGAAGAGAAGAAAGAGGAGGAAAAAGAAGAAAAGGAGGAGGAGGAGGAAAAAGAAGAAAAGGAGGAGGAAGAGGAAAAAGAAGACACAAAAAAACCTGTGAAGAAGTTCAGAAGAGATGATGATGAAGAAGAGGATTTGTTTTCAGGACTTGAAGAAGCAAAGGAAGAAGAGAAGAAGGAAGAAGAAGAAGAAGTTAAAGAAGAAACGAAACCAGTGAGGAAATTTAAGCGAGATGATGATGAAGAAGAAGGAGATTTATTTTCAGGCTTAGAGGAATCGAAGGAGGAGGAGGAGGTAAAGACTGTGGAATGAAGTGTGATTACATTGACTTTAATACTACTTTCATACTTTGAAGTGACTTAACACAGGCATCCTTCTATCTCTCTTTGTTTTATTTTTTTTTACATAAAATCTATTAAACTAAACTATTCCTTGATTACATGAGTAGTATCTTAGGATTGAGATGTTTTATAAGACTTTTTCTATACTGATGACCTTTATAAACTTCTTCTATTCCACCTTCTGTATAAAATCCAAATCAAACCTGCATTCCATCAACTCTTATTCTAAAGATTGTGCACGTCCATACTCTGAATATTATATTATTACAACAACCTATGGATAGGTACCCCACCCCCTCTCTTGATTTGTGTCTTATATAAGTTCTTTTTCTTCTCTACATATAATTTATTTGACCATTACCTTTTCTTAATCTACATCTAACTTGTGTATGGATGTGATAACCTATCATGGAATATAAGGTAAGGTATTAAAAACATTAATCACAAATTTGGGGTGTGATCTTTTAATAATTAACTTTTTACATTAAATAAATATGAACCAAACATATGATCTGGTGTGATTCTTTTCTCAACATTTCTTTTTTATAAAAAGGGAAATTGACTCATTTCTTTCCTAATACTATTTTGTGCATGTTAGTATTACATTTACCCTATCCCAGTGATGAGATTTCAAAATTTTGCTTGTCGGACATTTTTTTCCCGAAAATAAAGGGGCATAACTCTTTTATTTATTTAAGCAGGTCTATCCAGATACAAAAACAATATTCTCAACAAGAAATGATATAAATCTGTCCATTTTCAATTGTTCACTAGAAATGTTTGATAACTTCTGCATAAAGTTAACTCAGGACTGGTTTATAGTTGTTTTAATATGGATAAATCAAAAATAATTATATTAAAAATTCTGCTGTTTCCATTGACTCAGGATTCGGCAAACAACCCTTGCATTAGTTGCCTTGAGTGATAGCAGATGGCATGTGTTCGGTCTCTACTTGTGATTACTAAAGAGAATTCTCTCTTGTAGTGTGGACTGTGGAGCCAGAGTTATGTTGACTGACATTTTGTAACATAAAGTTTTAAAACAAAACGATTCTCCCCCCCCCCCCCCCCCCCCAAAAAAAAAATATTAATAATTTGTCAATTTTAAGTTTGCATTTACATTTTGAGATATTTAACTTTCAAAACAATATTTCCATGATATCTCAAATTCTTTTATAGAATTGTTCAAAGTTAGTAGAAATAGTTAATATTGAACACTGAGGCCATTTATGAGAAACGTATTATGAAAACAAAGTTCATTTTAGAAATAAATCAAAAGAAATTTGTGACATAAAAACCTGTGCATTAAGACTAATAAGAACCCTTTCTACACCTTTGGTTTCGATTCCTGGTTGGACAAAACAAGGAGCAGGGTCGCCTGTCCAACCTCGTGGGTTTTCTCTGGGTCCTCCGGTTTCCTCCCACTGCTAAAGACCCCAACACGCAAGCGAATTATTGAAATTAAATTGAACCCTATGTTAGTCCTGAAATTACGAAGTTTGTGTCAAGTGGACATTAAACTCTCTGGGTCCTCCGGTTGCCTCCCACTGCTAAAGACCCCTACACGCAAGTGAATTATTTAAATTAAATTGAACCCTATGTTAGTCTTGAAATGATTTAGTTTGTGTCGAGTGGATATTAAACCCTCTCTCTCCCTACCTCTCTCTCTCTCTCTGTACAACTTTAAAGAATTCACGATTCAGATATATAATAATTACCCTTTGCCATTTAGATAAACAACAAAATGTCAATTTCCCTTTAAAAATTTTTATCTTTTGCATCTATTGATTGAATGTCTTAACAAAAAAACTAAACCTATTGCATGATTATAGAACTGGAACATGTTTTATGTCCGTATTTTTATATAGATATCTTGTTATATACGACTAATGCCAGTCTGTTATGGATGAGCAGTATGTATTAATAACAGAACAAGAAAGAAATCAACCAGGGGGTAGAATTTATACTTCCAGGAATCAAGAGAGATGGAGAAGAAATTTGAAATGATTCAGTACCAAAACCATAGACATGAGAGAATAAAAAATTACATTATCTTATCATCAGAATGATTCTAAGAATTATGTTGTTTTTTTTTACAAAATAAATTCTGATAAAGTTTGTTTTTAACATAAATTATCTCCCATTGATGATAAAATAGTTTTCGTAATACATTCGAATGATAGGATTTAAATCCTAAATATTAGTTATTTATAATGATGGTTGTTTTGTTAGAGTAAAGAAGACACTAGTAAAGATGATGAAGAAGTAAAACCAGTACGAAAATTTAAACGTGAAACAGATGATGATGTAGAGGAGGAAGAGAAAGAAGAAGTGAAAGCTGATGAGGAAGTTAAAGCTGATGATGAAGTAAAAGATGATGAAGAAGTTAAAGCTGATGAAGAAGTTAAAGCTGATGAAGAAGTCAAAGCTGATGAAGAAGTCAAAGACGACAAAACAGAAGAAGACAGTAAAGCTGTAGAGACAGAAAAGGAAGAAGAGAAAAAGACAGCTGCACCAAGACGCTTCCGTAGACAGTTTGATGATGAGGAGGAGGAAGAGAAGCCTGCTGAAGAAGAAAAACCTGAAGAACCAACTAAAGAAGAAGAAACTCCTGCTAAAGAGGAAGAGGAAAGTAAACAAGTGGAGGAAGAGAAGCCAGCCGAAGAACCAGAGACAAGAAGGCGGCGTCGTAGAGAGGAGAAGCCTGAAGAGCCTGCCCCAGAACCTGCCCCAGAACCCGAGCCTGTAGAAGATGAGAGAGAGGCTAGAAGACGTCGTCGTAGAGAAGAAAGAGAAAAAGAGAAGGCTGAAGAAGCACCTGCTGTAGAAGAAGAATCAAGAGAAGAAAGGAGAAGACGACGAAGAAGAGAAAGAGAAGAAGCTTAAGTAAGTTACATCATGATAATTGGCATGGTGTGACATCATATAGATAGAAAGCAGATAACTGTTTTAAGTGCATGTCATATACCACAGCATGGAAACTAACTTCCGTGTTCTCGATTCATTACTAATATGGGGGGTCATGGTGGCTAAGTGGGTAAGACGCTGGCTCGCTAGCCTGGAGGTCTGGTATTCGATCCCTGCATTGGCCGAGAAAGTTCATCCAGATTTTCCGGCGTGGTTCCCCATTGTCAGTGATGCAGGACGGAGGGCCTGACAGGGACAACTGTCTAGTCGTTCTGGTGGGACGGAAAACTGAGGTCCCGTGTACACATTGGCGTGCATGTAAAAGATCCCATGACAGTTGGAATATAAGAGTAGGCCATAGCACTGCTGTCCAGTCAAAATTTCCTTCATAGCACACTGTATGGCGTATGCCCGTCTTCATTAGCCCAGTTCGGAGCAAAATAGTAGGACGTTAAACCCCATTTCATTTCATTATTACTAATATGATTTATATCCTGATTATTGTTTTAATAAAATGTCCAGTCTTATTTATGCGTGAAATTAATAAATTATTAGAAAGTCATTTTATAGATTGATATATGTTTGCTTTCCAAAGTTTGTAGATTTCAGACCCTTATTAATTATAGAACTAAAATAGACATTTTGTACAGCATCATTTTAACATTTGAAAGTGTTGATTAAGATATAATTACAGCATGATATTGATTCAAGTTTTGTGTGTGAAGTTAACAGACTGCATCATGTTGATACTCACCAGATGTGTACCATAATTACATGTATATACGATATACTAATCTCTTAAATATTATAATGTACTTTATTTTGCAGTTTACAACAGACTTATAAAAAAATAAATTGTATTTATAACTATGTTATTGTTGTTGATATTGTGGGTAAGCCTATATTTATAGAACAGTTGATCTCGATTGTTTAATAGGACAGAGATTTATTAACACATTGATTTATGGATGATTGTGATTCATGTGAAACCAAATCATGTTAAATCTGGTATCAATTGTTTTATGATGGTATATTTTCAAAGTTGAACATAGATAAACATAAGTGTATGAAGTTTTTATTCAAATACATAGCATTAATTAACTTATATATTGTTTCTGTGTTCAAGAAAATAATTCACCACTTTACTTCATTCTGAAATACATAAATTAGCTGTCTGCCCTCTATAGGCGTCTTCAGATATTAATAATGTATACAGAAATATTGAAAATACCATACATACACACATTTTTAAAATAATAGATTTCCATGGCAATGGTCTGTCAATGGATTATAAATAATATTACATGTAGGTAACTACAACAAAAGGTTATAAAATATAATACATAACATGACATTAATATAAATAGCCTTCCTGGTACAGTTTGACAATAGTTCAATATAGGAGTAATGAAATATATCAACAGTTGTTTATTGCAAGCATGTCACAATAAATGTTGAAATGTTGACATTAATAATCTGAAGTACAGTTTTAACAGCAATGGTTTGAAAACTGTAGCTGTATTGGTGTGACGTTTAGTGTGACCTTGATTCATTATTACAGTTATCATGATCAGTGCTTGTCATAATTTATAAGTTTATATATTTTTCAGACAAATGATTGTCAAGAAGAAGAAAATGAAGCCACCAGTAACTAATATGGTAAAATATTTAACACTACAATCCCAAAATAAATTAATTACTCATTAATTACTTTCACATTCATCCTTTTATAAAGCATTGGGAGCCACAGTGACCAAGTGGATAAGGCGCTGGTTTGCTAGCCTGGGGGTCGCGTGTTCGATCCCTGCATTGGCTGAGAAAGTTCATTGGGAGGGCCTGACAAGGACTTGTCTAGTTGTTCGGATGGTATTAAATAATCAAGGTCTTGTGTATACATTGGCATGCATGTAAAAGATCCCTTGGCACATGGAATTCGATATAACTTGACATACGAATCCCGTGCCAGAATGCCTTCAATAGCCATTTGTAATGAAGCGACTCAATGAACGAGGCTAAACATAACCCCCAATGGAAGACTACCAGAGTACCATTCAATTTGCACTCGTTGCATATTTCACCCAACATATAACTGATTAGATTATACAGTAAAAACCGAAACGATTGAATATAAATCTGGGGCCTGTTTCACGAAATTTTAACTAAGATAAAATCCAAATTTTAGTAATTTGATTGGATAATATTAGATTGATTTTAGTGCTTAGCCAATCAAAATTGAAGTATGTACTAAAATTTGGATTTTATCTTTAGTTAAGATTTCGAGAAACAGGGCCCAGTTTATATACATTCTTATTACATTATATAAGCGACCCATTTGTGTCCATTTCTAGGTATCAAAGAAAACCGATTTAGCTACTTTAAAATTGACTTTTAATTTCACATTTTGTTAATTGCAGCATGTCGAACCATACCAATGCTGGGTACGCTGATATTGTCAGGATAATGTGTTGGAAACTTTATGTAGAACAAGTGATGGTATCAAATGTACGTGTTAAAAGACTTTCATCATGTTTTGTGTATATATAAAACTTGTGTGATATCGGACTGTTAATCCTCTATGCTAGATGAAGTTGTTACTAGTTTTTAGTAAGCAGATGTATATAATTGTTTTACAATTATTATTATTATTATTTGTTGAGCCACCCCTTTAAAGCTGTATTTCATTGAACTACAATCAATCTGATTAAAACACAGATCCTATTTCATTTCGATATTTTATAGTTCAAAATTTCGTTTTACTTGTCTTACAGATCCCGTTTCTTTTCCATTTTTATAGTTCAAAATTTCGTTTTACTTGTCTGTACAACAGTAGGTTCTGGAAGAGTTGTTATATAAGCTGTGTTCTGATTGATGTGAGGGATTAGCCAATGAAACGGGCTGTTTGCGGCGAGCTTTTGACATTCGGTACACGGAACTGTGTGTATCGCAGTAGAAACATCAATGCCAATTAGTAAATAAAAAATCTGACGTCATAGGTTCAAAAGCTGCTCATATGACCCCTGGGACGACCTCCCACTACAATTGGTCAGATCTTCATGTAGTTGAAGCTATCGAAAGTATAAAAAACGAAATGAGATATAGATAGATCTGTCTTGTCTACGGTATCACCCTTGGTGGAAGTGGATGTAAAACCTCAGAAACGAACAAACGAATAGATCTGTAGTTTAATCAGATTGTTACTACAACAATAATCAAAAGAATTTTTTTTTTTTATGTAAAGTGAGGTCGGGGACATCTTGATACTGTGTGTGAAATTTAACGTCTGCTTCCACCGAGGTGATATTGCAGACAATCTCTTGGTACTGATTGTTGATTGTATTTAAACCATTCCGTTGTTCAGTTATTTGTCTTCGTAATTCTCTTTTCATTAGTTCATGACCTAAATCATCATTTAGAAGAACATGTAAAAAGTTACACTGCCAGACACATCTGTTGAAATATGATTATTTGCCCAACTGAAGTTGGTTATGCTAGGTCCCCGCTGTCGTGCGATGCGTTACAATAGGATTATCCCTATTAAGTCCACGATCTGATACGATTGCTGACCTCAATATATGATAAGACCTGATAGGGTCATCACCATTACTTCATGATCGTGGGAACCTCGCATTAGCAAAATATTACAGAGTCTACAGGGTAATAACTACCCCAAAGCAATAATACAGCAGGGTACAATCATAGATGTTTATATACAAAATTTATAAATAGTCTATAATGTATCCAAATTATGAGATTATCCATCTAGTCTGCAAGATATAACAGCTTTAATCCCATACCCCAATAAGTAAACATGGAATACAGCTTTAAAAATATGTTATGACATGCTGTGGAATGCATATTGTCAATATTTGCCACTTGTTAAAGCCTAGCAATGAAAAAGATTTAATTGTTGCATGACTGATATCAACTTATATAAACTGTGGTACTAATTCAAGATTTTTAACAGCCATTGAGATTTGTCTTAATATATTTTGTTAAAGTTTAATGGTAAAAAACATAGGCTTATCTGGATTTAAGGGTATGATGATCTTTTTTGTTCCCCACCTTTCAAAAAAAGCAGGGGATTATTAAAATGGGTTTGTTTGTCTGTCCGTCATTCTTTTTGGGACCCAATAACTCTCCTTCTAAATGAGCTAGAATGTTCAAACTTTGTGTAGCCGTTCATTAGGTGAATGCCTTGATGGAGTTCGAAGATGAACATTGTCTACTAACAGTAAGCAGAGATAATCTGTTTGATTGGTTTATAACTTTGGTTATAATTAAGTGAGAGTGATGAAACTCTGAATATAAATTCATTATATCATTACCTTGACTAAGTTCGATTGTACGAATTTTCTGCCTGGGCTAAGGAGCGATAAGCAATTTGATTGATCAAGACTTTGGAACATAACAACTCTGCTTTTAATTGAGGTATAATGTTTAAACTTGATGTAGATGTTCATTAGGTGAATGTTTTGACTGAGTTCAATGATTAACATTTCGAGCTGAAGCTAAGCAATTTCTTAACTTTGATTCTATCGGATAGTGTATAGTTGATAATCAGTCTGATTGCTTGATACTTTTGAAAAAGATTAACTGCAATTAATTAATATTATGTGTCATCTGTTTATTTCGGGATTTTTTATCATTTTCTATCACAAATTCATACCCCTTATTGCTTGCATTGATCAGTTCAATATTTTATTATATTTTCTTTTATCCTTCACAATGTTAAACTTCTGAAGGATTGAAATGCGATCAATGGAGAATTGTGATTTTTAGTCTTTATGCAATTTAACAAAATACACCACAAAGGAGCTGTTATTAATTTATTTAGCTTATAAGCTATATAATATTATATGTAGTAAATAAATTTTTATATCTTATCAATTTGTTTTCTTTGGTTTAATTCTTTTCATGTAAAGCGTAGAAATAAGCACCACACAGAGGCTATGTCTCGAAAAAAAGATAGCCATAGACAGCAGCTTATCTGAAGGGGAAAATTAGATGTTGACCATCTGGTAATATATCTGTGGAAATCAATAGTGTTCATTGTCCAGCTGAAAAAAATAGGGTTCATCCTCTCACTGTCCTAATGTTTCTCACAAGACAGCTGTCTAGTCGATCGGATGGTACGAAAAACCGAGGTCCCGTGTGCACATTGGCGTGCATGTAAAAGATTCCTTGACAGCCGTAGTGCCGCTGTCCGGGCAAAATTTCCCTCATAGCACATTGTATGGTGTATGCCCGTCTTCATTCTTCATTAGCCCAGTTCGGAGCAGAACAGTAAGACGTTAATCCCCATTTCCTTTCAAAATTTTTTATTGAAAAGTGGGCTTTACTGTGGCTCAGGTGGTTGGGGGAATGTGTGTAACTTCAAACAGAAAGTTGTGGCATGCAGAAAATCAGTAGGGATCATCCTCCCATTACCCCAGTAATAGAAATAGTTATTCAGTCTAAAATTACACGGCATTATGACTGCCCACACAAACCGTTCAGATCTAAAGGAGGGGAGTGAGAGAGAAAGAAATGGAGTTTAACGTCCATTCGACACAAACTAGGTCATTTTGGGACTAACATATGGTTCAATTTTATGACCCTACTCCTTGTCACATACAATCAGGGATTCGAAAAGCACCCACTTGACGTATTGGCAGACCTTGTGATAAAACGCACACGCGCCACCCAACGCCGCCCCCCGACCCCAAAATGGTGGGAAGTTTGGTTTGATCTAAATGTTCCATGGTTCGATTCTTAAAACAGACTGAATCATTGTGGGAACTGTAACAAAGAAAATACGACAATTGTTGGAATACACTTTATTTTTGTATAATGATTTTGAAAGACCCTCAGCTTTGATACCAATAAACCCGATTACAGGTACAAAAATACATACAATCAAAGACTTTGGGGGGAAAAATAGATTTATAAAATAAAATTGAGTTTGTACATGAACTATATTCTGTTATTACAATATAAACAGATATTAAAGACTAAATGCCATTTAAATTAAATATGCGTATGTAAATTCAAATTAAATATGCGCATGTAAACTATTTTTAATCATCAATCATTATTCATTAATCAAATTTGAGGATTTTACAGGATTTTAATTTCATACATTTTAACATTTATACATACTCACATTCATAAATAACTAAAGAATTGTCATGACTTATTTCTGACTTCAAAATAAACATTAGTATGTTTGTCCAACAAATAATTTTTTTTAGTCGACAAACAGAAATATCTAAGCATCAGCCCATACCGGATGGATATATTTTTGAATAATAAAGCCCCTTACAGCCCCTCAAACTGAAAATATTTTCTAAGTTATTAGTAGCTATTAAAGGACAATATTGGTGCCAGTCATCACATATGTGTTAGAGCTGGTTAAACACATTCCAAATATACTTTTAACACAGAGATCATTGCTACGATAGCTGAGTAATATAGGTTTCCCGTATCAGAAGTGACGAACGCCAAAGGAAAACAAGTCACCGCTCTATATAACTGACTGAAGCGACGAGTGATAACATATACACGGCCAAATTTCTGCTCACTAATAATTCCTTCGAAGACCAAAAGTTGTTGTGCGAGACTGCGAGAGGATATCTGACAATTCATAAAAAGAATTGACTGCCACTAGATAAGAGAACACATAATAAAGACAGAAAAAGTCCGTGCATTACCATGTTTTTATAACGTATAGAATGAATATAAACAAGGAAATGTACTGACTATTTCTATTTTTCTCGGTTCTCTTATCTAATGACATTCAATTACTTTATTGAATTGTCAGATATCCTCTTACAGTCCCATATAACAACTTTTGGTCTTGGAAGGAATTATTAGTGAGTAGAAATTTGCCCATGTATCTGTTATCACTCGTCGCTTCAGTCAGTTATACAGAGCAGCGACTCGTGTTTTCCTTTGGCGTTCGTCACTTCCGATACGGGAAACCTGTATTACTCAGCTATCGTAGCAATGATCTCTGTGTTAAAAATATATTTGGAATGTGTTTAACCAGCTCTAACACATATGTGATAATGACTGGCACCAATATTGTCCTTCAATGTTAAATACAGCTACAGACTACATAAAATTAGTTTTGATTTATTTTATTAGATGGTCAAATTTTGACTAAAGATTCAGTCTCCTTAAATATCTCCCTGAAAAGTTAATTTTCGACCCATGATTGTAAGTTAAACAGACTAATAAATATCATTAGAACAAAGTTTCTACCAATTTCAGGATTATAACAGTCCTTCACGTTTATAAAAATGTGCGGGAGCCATAAAAAGCTCTTGTCAATTTCAACTAGGAGAAAAAAGCTCCCGTAAAACAAAACTCTTCTTAATTATATTCAAGAGTAATTTTACATTTTCTTGAATTAAGGAGAGCCAAATTGTATTTATGCTTCAGTCGTGTCAGAATTATCATCATGGCAACTGATAGCTCTAATATATGCAGTTTAAAAATAAAACATAAACTGAAAGTAGTTTAATTATCTCAATATTTAGGAGAGCGATTTAGCTAATTTACAGGAGTCTTTAATGACTTCTGTGAAGGAAAGTCAACGTGCATCAAGAGGAGCAGAAGCAAAAGCGCACCTTAAATGTGAAGGACTGTTATAATCAATGTAAATTAGGTAGCAGAACAAGCACTATTCAAATACACAATACCAGTAAATAATAGAATCTGATATTGAGCAAATACACAATACCAGTAAATAATGGAATCAGATATTGTACAAATAACACAATACCAGTAAATAATAGAATCAGATATTGTGCAAATAACACACATTCTTCCAAGATGAATTTCTAATAACATCATAAAAATATAAATGCGAAACAAATGCACTCTATCACCTTCTATCACAGCACTTAATCAATCAAATTATGACTTTGATATTGAAAAATACTGGACCTTTGTTATTAAATGAAAATGAAAAAAAAAAATATATACTAGTATTCAAATCTCGTCACAAACATAATCTTCTTCTGTTCACATTCACTCAAACCAATCACTGATTGAAGACTCACTCAGTTCCAAAATACTTTTGACCAAAATGATTAGGAGCAACTGGATGAATTTCGGATGTGAGAATTGTTATTCCAGGAGATTCAGAGATAACATTTTTGGCAGCTGAAAAACAGAACCAACAGGAACGGAATGAGGTTTTAAGTCTTGTCAACACAATATTTTGCTCATTTTGAGACTAACATTTTTATTTCTATAGAATACGAAAAGGAATTTTGCCTACTCTTTTTCGAATTCATACTGCTAAGTTTTAGTTAACTACACCCTTACAGAGAGAGATAGTTGGGGGTCCACTAAGTAAAACTAGGTCATTTCGGGACTATCACATGCTTCAATTCTATTTCAATAATTTGCAGTCTTTAGCAGTGGGAGGAAACTGGAGGACTTGGAGAAATGAAATGAAATGTGGTTTAACGTCCTACTGTTTTGCTCCGAACTGGGCTAATGAAGACGGACATACGCCAAACAGTGTGCTATGAGGGAAATTTTGCCCGGACAGCGGCACTACAGCCTACTCTTATATCAAATTCCAACTGTCAAGGGATCTTTTACGTGCACGCCATTGTGTACACGGGACCTCGTTTTTTTGTCTCATCCGAATGACTAGACAGCTGTCCTTGTCAGACCCTTCCTCCTGCATCACTGACAAGGGGGAACCACCCGACCTCCAGACTAGCGAGCCAGCGTTTTACCCACTTAGCCACCGTGACCCCCAGGACCTGGAGAAAATCCACGAGATTGTACAGGCGACACTACTCGTTGTCTCATACAACCGAAACCCACCAGTTGACTCAATGACAGATCTTATGATACACGCTAACCATTCGCCCCACCCCCCTCTTCTCAGCGGGATTCAAACTCAAGATAATCTAGTCAAGAGCCCAATGTAATACAGGCAGTAAAATGATATTTGGTGACTACCCTGGACAAAATGGTTCAAATAAATTTAAAGTGATTTACCTTGCGGTGTACAGAACAAATTTAATAATATGACATTATCTTCATTTATTTTATGTTCCCTTAAAACTTTCATAGCTTGAGCTACAGTATTGCCGGTACCTGTAAGAAGATTAACATAACAGTCATGAAAAAATCTGATTAAAATACAGATCTATATTTCGTTCTGATTTTTTATACTTTCAATGGCCTACACTAGATATAGATATGACCAGATATAGTGGGAGGTCACGTCATACAAGCATCTTTTATCCTGTAACGTCAGTCATTCAATTAACCAATCAGCATCTGTGTTTCAAGTGGGTATTCGGAAATACAACTTTTACTGTCATTTGTTTTTTATCGCTGTGAATGTCTACCCACAGTTCCGATTGCTAGATGATAAAAACTTGACTCAACAGTCCATTAGATTGGATAATATGAAAAACGAGCGTGTGTAAAAGAACCCTTCAAAGTTGGAATTAATGAAGAGTACGCATAATTGAAGAAAAGTACGCAAAATTTCCCTCATAGCACACTGCCTGGCTAATATTCATTTTCATTCAATCAAAGCTTCTTTTACGAGCACACCAAAATGCATCTGAACAACTATACATTTTCCTTTGCCAGGCCCTCAGCCCTGATCAAGGGAACCAAACCGGAAAACTGAGGTACACATATATATATACCAACCATGTGACCAACGTGATTAATACAATGAAGAAATTTTTAAAAATATTGTAATATTACATACTCATAATGGGGTACATCAGCAGCACTTTTCGTCTGCTAATATCTGGAGGAAGTTTAGCATATAACACTTTTGCTTCGTGTGTATCTTCATCACTCTGTATTAATATTTTACCAATTCTTATTGAACGACAGCAGTCTCTTAATCCTTGTTCCATGGCTTCACCTTAAAAATAAAATTACGTGGTGTTCACAGACATACGCATCTATATTTCTTATAATATGATAAGGTAGTATAAAAGACATAAGACATACTCAAGGCAATAGCACACAAGTCCACTGGTAAACTATAATGAGAGAGAGAGAGAGAAATGAAATGAAATGGGGTTTAACGTCCTACTGTTTTGCTCCTAAACTGGGCTAATGAAGACGGGCAGCGGCGCAATGGCCTACTCTTTTATCGAATTCCAACTGCCAAGGGATCTTTTACGGGACCTCGGTTTTTTGTCCCATCTGAACGACTAGACAGCTGTCCTTGTCAGACCCTCCCCAGTCCTGCATCACTGACAAGGAGAAACCACGCCGGAAAATCTGGATGGACTTTCTCGGCCAATGCAGGGGTTGGAGAGAGAGAGAGAGAGAGAGAGAGAGACACTGTGCATAAATTTTAAGTCAATTGCACATTAACTGTAGCCTCTAGTGTCCACGAGATTTTTAAAAGTGATCAAGGGCCATAACTCTTGAATTAATTTTCAGAAATCACTGCAAATCAACAGGCTTCTTCGCCTCATGTGTATGAATTTAAAGTCAACCGGACGGACAGGGGCAATGTGGGCGTATAAAAAAGAAATGAAAGTACACTTAAAAATAGTATGGTCTAATTTTAATTATAAAGACTCACCACTTCTCATAATACTGACTCCACAATTTCCTTTTTCATAGCGTAACCCGTTGTAGGAATGCCCTGTCAAACATGTCATAATTATCAATCAAATAATTAATGTTTTCTATTATATACTATTCAAAAAAAGTAGGGGATATTTGATTTTGGGGGCATAATACTAAAATATGCAAATGACTACGAAAAAAGTCACTATAGAACCTAACAGAAGAAACATTTCCAGTTACATGTGACGCCCAAACGCACCAATAGCTACCGCATGGAATGCAGGTGATGCTTGGGATCATCATGGGGGTCCAACCCAAGATTTGCACGACTCTGACTTTGAATGTTACAGTCATTGTGACATTGAATTCCAGGGTGGAAACATCAGTTTAATTGTTTTAGTGACCAGAAAACAAATTTTGATATGCGTCGGCTTACCCAAAATGAAAGGTTACGTGCCCTTGGCATGCTACAGATCGGCACAACACAGGCGGTTGTGGCGCGGACGATGAATGTTTCTCAGTCTGTCATAAGCAGGCTATGGTCCAGATACCGTGATACACAATCTGTACAGGACAGACCACGCTCAGGTCGACCAAGGGCGACAACTCAAGCCCAGGATCGATTTATCCGTACCTTGGCCTTGAGAAATCGTGTCATCACAGCAAATCAGATCAGCGCTCGTCTTCAAACAGACACTGGTGTGAGAGTGAGTGGCCAGACGATTCGGAATCGACTGCATAGGGGTCACCTTCGCGCCCGACGTCCTCGCGTGATCCCTTGTTTGAGAGATCATCACATTCAGGCAAGACGTCGTTGGTGTAGGGATCGTCAACACTGGGATAATCGACGCTGGAGCAATGTGATGTTTTCAGATGAGTCAAGGTTCACTGTTGATTTTTTGGACAGACGTAGGAGGGTGTGGCGTCGTCGAAACGAGCGCTTCCAAGACGTTAACGTCATCAGACATGATCGATTTGGGGGTGGTTCTGTTATGGTGTGGGGAGGCATCACTGTTGCTGGAAGAACGGCTTTACATGTTGTTGCAGGGCGTGTTACAGGCCAGTACTACCGGGACAACATCTTGGCAGTCCATGTTGTGCCGTTCGCACGACGTCATGGCCGCCGTTTCATCTTCCAGGATGACAACGCAAGATGTCACAGGGCCAGGATCGTTACAGGTTACCTCCAACAACAGAACATCACCACATTACCTTGGCCAGCACTGAGTCCCGACCTCTCCCCCATCGAGCATGTCTGGGACATGCTTGGACAGAGGTTACGTCAACGTCAACAAAGTCCTGCCAATGTCCAAGAACTTGCTGCTGCGTTGCAACAGGAATGGGACAATCTGGACCAAAATGACCTTAGACGTCTCATTAGGAGTATGCCACGTCGGATCAATGCTTGTTTGGCAAACAGAGGAGGATTTACCCGTTACTGACTTGGTTGTGATGCTGTGGTAACTTTGCTGTTTGACCCCGGCTATCATTTTACCCTTATAATGGTCAGTCTGTGCCTTACTTAGTCTAACGATCATTTGGAATAAATCGATGAATGTGAACTTCATTTCATTTTGTCATTTGTTTCTTCGTCAGTTTCATTAGGTGACTTTAATAACACTTAAAAATCAAATATCCCCTACTTTTTTTGAATAGTATATATTGTTATGTGTATACTAAACACACTGAAACTATTTGAGGTATGTGCTACAGGGCAATTTTGTCTTTCATGTTTTCAAAACAATCAAATTTTTGTACATCACATCTGATATGTTGTTTAGTGATCCATAAACCCTTAGTTTTACTTTCAATACTATTTGATCAAAAGACCATCCATGTTCCTGAAGCAACAACTGCGAGTTTTACAACATCTGGACGTTGCTAGATTACTTTACAATTTCCACCAAACTTATAGCTACGTTATCTGCAGACACGTGAACAGTAGCGTCCAATCAGAGGTTGCGACATAGCGACCTCCAAGGAAACCTTGACATTAAATGAAACTTGGGTAGATGTGGCGCATTATCAAATGCAATATATTATTATTATTATTATATTGAACTTTGCAACTTGATTCGCGACGATCTAGGAATCTGACAGGCTCACAAGTTGGGTGAATACCCAATCGAAATTAGTGCCGAAATATGCAGGGTATTACGTGAAGGCCTTGATAAGATGTACGTAGTTAAAGCGAGACCAAGCCTTCTATTGAAGATAAAGACCATCATAATTAAAGATTGCCCCATCTTCAGTAAAAGACTAGATCTCACTTTAACTTTGTACAAAACACTAGATCTCACTTTAACTTTGTACATCTTATCAAGCCCTTAATACCCTACATTTTTCGGCACTAATTTCGATTGGTTGCTGACCCACCTCGGGACCTCTCAGATTCCTGAATAGAAAATACCAAGTCTTGCGCTTTCCAACTAAAATGTCTAGCTGTGATAATAGAGTTGCAAAGTTCAAAGATCGTACAATGTCAAGGTTGCTAATGCTATGACCCACTTCACATCTTAGTCTAAACCTTTCTAATTTACTTTTTGTTCTTTCATTATGCTAGTAAGGTTACTTTTCTTTGGTTTTCCATGAGTTTTTCTAATTAAAAGAAAGTTTTAAACGGCTGTAAACGAATCTATTCCTTTACATTTTTTTATTACGTATCTGTGGTAAGGAGAGATAACTATCTAAAAGTTTGGGAACTTCAGACTAATCTAGCAACGGTTAGATCTTGTGTAGCCCGCAGTCGTTGCTTCAAGAACATGAGGTTGGCATTGCCTTCCTGACTTGATATTATATAATCTTTTAGTGGCATTGCTCAAATGAGAAACACATTAACAGAACACAATTTTAAAGGGAAACCATCACAGGTTTTATTAAATAAGCATGCTTCTACAAGTACCCTCTTATCGTCATTAAGTACAGCTATAACAGAGAGAGACAGAGAGAAATGGGGTGTAACGTTCACTCAACACAGACTAGGTCATTTCGGGACTAACATATGGTTTAATTTTATTTCAATAATTCGCTTGAGTGTAGGGGTCTTTAGCAGTGGGAGGAAACCGGAGGACCCAGAGAAAAACCCATGAGGCAGCTATAACAGGATATTTGTTGACATGTTGTTCTTACATAATAAAACCTGTGATAAAAATTATCTTGTATTGATTCATATTTGTTTTGTTTTAAAATAAAATAAAATATACAGGTCACAATTCTATGGAATACAATTACTGCTTATTATTGAGCAACGTTTCGACTAGGCTTCTCTAGTCATTATAAAGCATTAATGGGTTGGCTGCTAAATTGTGATTTATCTGTAAATAAATTCAATAAAATATTGGACATGATGATTGATTACCTGTAGGTGTTGTTATAGAACATTCTTTATATGGCAGTTGATTCAAGCCTTCTTCTACTATCAAACGTATCTACAAACAAAAATAAACGATGTACATTGATTTCTAGGACAAAATATATTATTGAAAATTAATAATTTGGTATACCAGTAAGCACACTGTCCTGCCAATTTTCTTTGAATTGTACATTCCTGATATATAGTACAACATTAAGGATATGTTAGTCAAACCCTACACAATTGATGATGTTCACTCATGTCACAACACAAACACTCCCGTCAAAAGGCAACACCTAGTAACTCATGTTTTTTCTTATTTTAAGAAAACAAAGGAAAACGAAATGAATGAATATTAAACCCCAGCTTATCCATTGATTTGACTATTGAGTTACTAGGTTTTTCTGTGGCATACTAGGCAAATGAAGGAAGTTGCTAGGTTGTGTCATGAGTGTAACTGCTTACAAAATCAAAAGATCAATATCTAGTACAACAACGGGAAGCACATATCCTAGTAACTACAAATTTGGTCCTAACTCAATTTTGATAAAAAAAAAATGAGTTACTAGGTTTTGAATTTTGACGGGAGAGTTACAGACATACACAATCAATAATAGTTTAGTTTATTTTACAGACTATTCAATCTAAAGGCCATACATTATAATTAATATAACAGTGATCAAAGCGGCATTAAGTAAGATTAGATAAAGGGTTGACAGTTCTCGCTATAATAGTTAAAAGGGAATATGGTGGAAATTTCAGCCAAATTACGTCACTTAATATCGCAAGCGTCCGATATCATCGAGAGTTGGTTATAGTCTGGATAAGTTAATTAATGTCTAATAAATAAATTAGATAACATTTAACTTAAATTTTAAGGCCTAAGAAAGACCTGCAATAGGCAGATTTAGCTCTTGCATAATGCCCGTTTCATGTAAATATGCATGTGTAAACTAATATTTGTTACATGTCTTTACGAAGAAATTGCTGTAAAAATTGTGCAGTAGGATATTCAGCAAACTACATAGTACAGCTTTACTTACCCAATTAGATCTCACATTCTCAATACTTATTTGTTTGTGACATCGTGTCCGCAGGTTAATCTTCTAGTATTCTATTAGTGGGGTGGTTCTGCTGCACTTACAGTTAGTGGCAAGCATACATGTTGCCAAATTATTTAAAAATAACAGATTTTGTCCACCCCATTACTACTCCTACTCCAGCTTATCACCAACTCTGTACACAGATTATAGAAACCATAGATGGCTACAAGAAGGGGATTCATATAGGATGAAAAAATAATGAAATATTTCTATCTATTGGATAAATATACATACTAGTCTGTCAGCATAGAAAATAAAATCACTTCTTGAAGTCGATCTGAAAAAACACATAAATTTATAAGTACAATTAATGTAGGCTAGGAAAATGAAATTAAACAAGCCAACAGTGAGGCTCATGTCCCCTGTCGAAATCCAAAAATAAATGGATGACACATATTAATTAATTGCACGTTTATTTTTTTCAAAAGTATCGAGTAAACAAACTGATTATCTGTTCTTAGTCTAAGTATAAAATGTTAACAATCAAACTCAGTCAGGTTTTGAAGTACCTTGTAGTGAAACTATGCACAGGGAACAATAAGAAATAACCCTTCTTTTTTATCATTATTATTCCATTACTAGTACTACACTTATTATATTCATGCAATCCATAACCATTACTTTGGCTGAATTAGTCAGAAAAATATTAAATAATTAACAGATAAACCTCCCTGTCACCTCTATAATTCAAATTAGCTGTATTTTCTTTAAAATTTCAATGAACTTTTTTATTTCTATTTAAATTACAAATATCTAGAGAGCTTTTAAAATGTACTGAAGGTGAAGGCATGTGCTTGGGTTTTTTTTCCGTCCAAAAGAATGGAGTCCGACAAAAGACAATAGAAAAGTTTTTAACATACTTATCCCTTAGAACTGTCTGTAGTTCCTTGATGTTATCAGTTATTCGAAGTTTCTTAACATTTCCCTCAAACTGTTCATCGACAATAAGACTAGGGACAGTATTCTGTATTAAATCTGGTGCCGGTTCAACCATTTTTAATCCCTCTTGCTTCTGTAAGGTCATTCATATAAATATTATTGCAATTAAAATCTCAGAATTACTGTGAAAAGTTGGGCTTCTACTAGGCTAATATCCAATAATATAAATATTTAAAACAAAATAAAAATTTTAAAATTGGCACATGAATCGTGTGCCAGAATGCTTTTGAGCTCCATTTTTATGAAGCAACTCGATGAATGCGGCTAAACATGTAGGAGAATACTACCAGTGTAGATTGGCGAATAACCATACGCCAAAGATTGCCATTCATGATTCAATATTTCGCCAACATATGATATGATATTACTTAAACAACTTAGAAATTACAGTAAAAATAGAACCGATTGAATGTTAGTTTTGTTTATAATACTGGTACAAATCCTGAACTGGTTGTATAAAATTGTTTGACTTTCTATACAAATTAATTATAATTATCATGAATGAATCAATAAAAAAAATAATGACTGATACTGATGTAAACCGTAATCCAGCGCCCAAATCTTGATCTCATTATCTGATGATGACTGAGTTATTTTAAAGTAAATAAGTCTGATAAAATAACAATTTGTAATAAAAATGATAACCCTATAAGTTTTGATACTAAAACATACAAACTTTCTCTAAATTCGACCTCACAGAACTTCCTTTTAATTAAAAAAAACCCAATAAAATAAAAAGAAAAAAAACTAACATCAATCATGTCTTCCGGTAGAGACCAGACTTCCGGTAGGATTTGACTGTACCGGTAATAAAAGACTACTTTCCGTAGTCTTGCTACCAGTCTCAAATCGATTTATTTCTATGGTGGACTGTACATGGTGTTAATACATCACTTCACTAACTTATTCTTTTCTAAGGTATACATTCTATTCTAATAAAAGATAACCTACAATCAGTGTAATCATACCGCTGTTGGAAATTTTCAATAAAATAATGCCATTGGACCCCAGCCAGCTAGGGGGCGCCGGGACGTCCGAGATAGCTGGTAATGGAGGCATAAGGGGGAGATCTGGAGGGGGTTTCCCTTAGGTTGAGGGTCTGTCTCATGGTTTGTTGGAGAGGTTCCGTGGCCCTCCACCGAGAAAATATTTGAAATTTTGTTGCAGAAATAATGAAATCTAACGACTTTTGACCAGTTACCTTTTATTCCAAACCAGATCAAATTCAACTCAGATCCTGAAGCGATTTGGTGCACCCGTTCCGGATATAGCATTACAGGTGTTCCCGTTCTATTATTATTATTATTATTGCCTTTATGTAGATAACCATTTACGATGGATCCTTTAACTTGTTTTTTACTTATGATTGCGTGTACATTGGTCTACTGCATTATTTGTATATTATTTATGCCTGTGGTTTTACTTGCAAAAATGTCAAGCCGTTTACGTTTGTTTATAATGGTTGTTTACATCTGTTTATGGTTGCTTATTTTTATATATTTTTTTGTTTCTTTGGTAAAATTTAATGTTCTCATCTTTTTTTGTGTGTGTGGTAACAAGAATTTGCCCGTTTATTTAACCATAAAGATATATTTATTCAACTCTTGCGATAAACGATGGGGCCAGATTATTCCAACAAGAAAATTACACATTGGATACGCCGGTCTACTGCCTACGTACAATGGTGTATTTTGCCCATTTATACATTAGGGTAATGAATGGGGGCTTTGCAAGACTCGAATGCATTCAACTGATGAGAATATTCTTGGCGCAATTTTATTACTTAATATGTGTATTTTATGTTTATATGTATAAATGATCACCTGAGTGGAGCGATACCAAACGATTTGCTTAAAATAATGGTTAGACTACATCATCGGCCCGCACAAAGCATGGAAATCACAGAACCGCTTGGTCTCGAAAATAATATAGCCTGAGACAGTAGCTTAAGCGCAGGGAAAACGTGTATGTTTTTTGTTTAAAAATCCATTAAAAACTGTAGCCTCAAACATTTATTTTAACAAATTTTTAGGGTTTTTTCCCGAAAAGAGGGGACAAATCAGGAACGGAAGGTCGCGGAAGACTGAATAACGATAACACTGGTAAAGTTTCAGACCAATTCTGGAACAAAAAAGTCGTATAACGCTGAAATTGAATAGGGGTCAGTCTTTCAGGGTCTGCAATCATCACACCAAATTTGACCAACGGACGGACGGAGCAACAGACAGGACCGATGATGCCCAAATTACGATGGGTGTATAAAAAAATTGCCAATAGAAAATAAAGAGGGTCACCTCTGCCCCCTCTCTGTATCCGCGCCTGAGACAATCTCCGTATGAACACCAAGACCCCGTGTTTAATCATTTATCCTCAAAAGAGAGATAGAGAGAGAGAGAGTTTAACATCCAACAAGAAAAGGGCGCTGACTCCGAGACTGGCCCCTTTGACTTCTCTGCAAGTGCCTCTTTGCCCAGTAAACTAAGGCACGTACGCATCATGAATCATTCCACCATTCATCAGTGCCGTTGTACAGAGGACATACGACAAAAGGCACTGGCTTACTAAACAGGAGGTCCCAAGATTAATCCAGCGGTTTTGACCGAGAAACTTCCTTGGGGTTTTTAAGCGTGGTCCCCCCTTGTCAGTGGCACCTATATCCGTTTTTATTGGCCCAGTTGAAACCTATTTCATTTCATTTCACAAAACGCGAATACCGATGATTGGATGCATGGTTATAAGAGCGCTAAATTCAGCGATTCTGGTTAGAATAAACTACCGGACATTTAAACCTTTACATACACTTTTGCCACGACGTGTTTTCCACTGACCTAACCGCGGCCGAAGGTCTGTTTCTTAATCCACCCCTGTACAAAGATATGATGAGTTGAATAGTTGTCCATATCTGGCATACTATGTAGACGATATAAATGGGATATGGTCAACGAAATCTATCGCGAGGGGGAGGGGGGGGGTGATGGCGCTTCGAAGTCTAGCTGGGGACTGCGGTTTCCCCCCCACAGGAAAGACCCCTGCGAAATCAACATCGCTGGAAGCGGACGCTAAACACTAATAGACGAAGAAGAAATCCATCGCCATCCTCACTGATAGACCTCCCTTTATTCGGATTGAATCCAAAACCAATAGATTGGTATTTTGATTTTGTTTCTGAGTTCATTTTTAACGTGGATCAACCCGTAAATATAGATATTATCCTGTAATGTAAATGGTGATCTGCAGCTTTTAACGCCAAAAATAATTATTTTATATTATTAATCAAGTATGTACTTAAAAATATACAAAGAGAAAACAAAATCATAATAAACAAAAACATGTCTCAAACTTCATATGCAATCGATAAAATCTGATTAAAATACAAATCTATATTTCGTTTATTTTTTTATACTTTCCATGGCCTACACTACACGAAGAGGTTGCGTCAGGGGTCATACGAGCGGCTTTTGACACCATGACGTTAGACATTGATTAATCAGCGTTGACGTTTCTAGGGGTTTACCCACAGTTCCGTGCAGAACACGCCAATAACTCGCCATAACAGGAAGTTTCATTGGCTAAATTCTAAATCCTCACACCTCCTAGAACGCCTGTTATATAACAACTCTTCCAGATCCTAGTGTTGTGAAGACAAGTAAAACGAAATTTTAAACTATAAAAAAACAAAAAAACGAAATAGGATTCGTGTTTTAATCAGATTGCAATCGATAAAATCAAGGCCTCTTGAAGATTTCAGCTATTTTATCCACCAATGATGTTGAAAGATGTATATTGTTTACATTCGTAAGATCTCCTTGCTTTTGATCCTTTTTAGTTTGGGCATTGATTTTACTTCTTCTTAGTTCTTCCCGTACTTCTTGTTGGCCATTGTTGGACATATTTGGTGACTGTTTAGCATCTAAGTTTAATATAGTTGTAGATATTTTTTCACTGCAATAATTCCATTCGTGTTGTTCAAAGAACCCAGAACTTTGTTGACCATCTTCTGTGCTGTCGAGAGTGTGTATACATGTATCCATGAATTTCTGTTCTATTGATTGTTCTTCTTCATCGAGGAATAAATCTACTTGAATATCTTCATTAGTTCCAGGTGGTAATTTTGCTTGGTTTTGGACTTTTTTCTCTGTAACAAGAAATTTGAGTTCCTTTGTTCGCTTAGCCGCTTCTACACACTTTTGTTTGATTCTTTTAAATTCCATTCTTTCAGCTTTTCTTCTCTTTTGCATCAATTCCACCTGTGAATAGATTTCGATAAAGGAATGTTATGAATATCTATTTGACAGACATCACTCGGGAAACCTCGGCAGATTCCAGTACCCTACACCTAGCCTCGGCTGTATGACGAAGTACGCCATTGGAACTACTTTCAAGTTCCGGGATTACCAACGGCGTTTCCCATGACGACGCCTATGAAAGATGTTTTATCACACAAATATTTCAAAGTCTGAAGCTGTTTTTCTTTCAAGTCTATCCGATTTTCTTCAAACAAGGACAACTTTGCACTGACAATTCTACACACGCTTTGAACGACGCGATTCTGATAACACTTTTTTAAAAGCGGCAAGTTTTCCTAATAAGTAAACCGGTGCTGCATCGCAATTGTATTAGGCGTAGGTACATATCACTTACCGTCATACAGCCGAGGCTAGATGTAGAGTAAAGGAATCTGCCGTGGTTTGCCGATTGTGACAGACATAACTTTGTCAGAGAACGAATATACCCCACCCCACCCAACTCCTCCATAACCTCTCTAGAAAGAGGTAAAGTGGTCACAGGTGTCGACGACGACGACTGACAAGTTGCATTCAATAGGGTTACCGTTATCACCAACTGGACATTTTTACAAAACAATTTTAAAGTGTATTTATGAAAAAACCCACTACGACCTGTTGAGCATTTAAAACGTTATAGCGTAATGAGCAATAACTCTGTAGAAATTTATGCACGAATCTGTCTTTTAATAGGGTTTGGCTAGCCAAACAACACCAGCAGTTTGAAAGACTCTGAACCCCAGCAAGGTTTCGGCGACAAGGGCAATGGTTTAAACATATTTTATTGCAAATAATTTACAAAGGGATTAGGACAATTTATAAAAATTATGAACCTTCTCCAAGGGAATAGAATAATATAATATTATATAATATATGATGGCAGAACAAACATTTAACATACAGTGAAATGAAATGAAATGGGGTTTAACGTCCTACTGTTCTGCTCCTAATGAAGACGGACATACGCCATACAGTGTGCTATGAGGGAAATTTTGCCCGGGCAGCGGCGCTACGGCCTACTCTTATATCGAATTCCAACTGCCAAGGGATCTTTTACGTGCACACCAATGTGTACACGGGACCTCGGTTTTTCGTCCCATCCGAACGACTAGACAGCTTTCCTTGTCAGGCCCTCCATCCTGCATCAGTGACAAGGGGAAATCACGCCGGAAAATCTGGATGAACTTTCTCGGCCAATGCAGGGATCGAAAACCCGACCTCCAGGCTAGCGAGCCAGCGCCTTACCCACTTAGCCACGTGATCCCCCTTAACATACAGTAGATACAGCTATATACTAAATTAAGAATCTAATATAAACTATAATCATAATTAAATATGTGTTTATCTAAATAAAGTGATAAATATGAGTGTGTGGACACTAACTGCAAAACATTCATGAACGATTCTAAATTTCGCCGAGGTGCATTTATAAGACTATAGCAAAAATGAAATGAAA